AAACTGAACGAGATCTCTACGGTTTCCACCTTCTCTCTCTTGTCATTACAGTTTCATGTTTTTTTTCCGTGGAGAAAATGATGGAAGCTGAAATTCCGGACTTTTGAAGAAATTAAAAAATTCCTTCCGGATGAAGATTTCGAGACCTAAATGGAGGACATGTCCGGGAAAATACGGACGTATGGCAACCCTAGATTACATGCCACTTAGATTCGACAATTTAATAAAACCTAGATGTCCAAGTTAGATAGCAAAAATCACAAGATACACTATTGTTCTGATGGAAAACATCCACATGGGATGACACTGTGGCATTCCCAATCGACCCAGCTGTAAAGGGGCGCTTGACTTTAGTTGAATAAGTGTACTGAGCTTGATATTAATTTGCTGTCTGTGACTGCCCCGAGTGGATTTATTGGACCCACTTTCATGTTTTCACATCTCTACAGTTCTGCATCCATTGGTATCCATTTGTGACAGCAATTTTTTTTTTTTGGGGGGTTACAGAGCTTCTGTTTTTGGAGTACATTGTGTTTTCTGATCACCTCAAGAGTAGCGCCAAGCCTATTTCACCTTAAGATTAACCACCCTAAAGCTAAACTAATTATCCCCTCCCCTCAAGTAGCATTAGCTTGTTTGATCATCAGGTAAAATGAGCTGGGGGTAATCGTCAGGTAATCTGTGTTTTCTTAAATAACCTAACTAACTTAAACTAATTTTAAGGAAGTTCTGAAAGTATCTCATCTGCATATTTGAGCCTTTTATTAATTTAATTTGCTAAGATACGCAGTACAGTACATATCAATGTTAGTGATATTCTTCGGTTTTCTCAAAAGTTTGTGCCTATAGTGGTTTAAAAACTACCAAGACATGTTTTGGTTCCGGCCTCTTATTTCCTTATTTAAAATTTAAAAAAAAAATAATTTACTGTGTATGTAGAGAAGAGCTATAGTCTCAACATTATTTCAGTCTCTATAATACAATACATGTACAGTGCTGTGATGTTTGCTTAAGTATTGGTTAAATGCTATATCTATCATACATTTCTCATCTTGACTACTTTTCAATTTTATATCTATTTACGTTTCTATATGTAAAAGAAATGAAAGAGAACCACATAGGTCTGATGGCCTGTTCAGAGCAGATCACAGTTACATAACACTAAGTTATACACTATTAAACTTCAATAAAAAAAAAGTCATAGTAGCCGGACTTAACAAGCAACCGCCTTCATTTCTCCAAGTGCAAAGTTTACAGCAGAATGGACTGGGGACACCTTGAGTGCAGACCAGTAAACATTTGTACAAGAGGCAAATGCTGTCTCTTTAACTCTTACACCCTTTATGAGAGATGTGAGTACAATATATTTAACAGTAGTTTTATCCCAATACACTAAGATTTATCATTCACGAGAGGGGAAATGTATTTTTGAAGTTCAGTTGTTAGACTAACAGAGGCTACATTATAGCAGAAGGCATAGGTAATTAAAATCCACTAAAACTTTTATGTGATTTTCACCATATGATAACTGTGTACACTGTATATAATGTATTTTCTTCATACATTATACTGTACAGTATCTAGTTTTTAAGGGAATCACTAAAACTTTTTTTTTAATGGAAAATTCTTCTTTCTTATTGTCATCTTTTTATAGACAGGATCATTCATGACAAGGTTACAACTTAGCCATTCCCTGAGCTACATTACCAAGAAACTTTTTCACTATAAAATTCTCTCTTCCAAGAGCATTGTGATTAGTTTTATTACTGAAGCTCCTTGTACCTCATCTAAGAATGCATTACATGATACAGTAGTTAGACAGGGAAGTTTGCCTTGCACAACTCTTACCCAAACAGGACTTGGCAACAACCTTCAAAGTGGACACCCATATATTGTATGACCTGTTACTCTTAAAAATTTTAATTTTCATCTTTCCATACCATTATTTTTTTTCTTTCTACTTGGTCTATACAATGTGCTTTGTCTTATTGCCTCTAAAAAAACTTATACCCCTGTACTGTATTAATATCAGGATGGTAACATTATTTTAGCTCTGAAAAGTATTTGCTGGTGTTGTGAGAGTTGTTTATTAATAATCATTTTGTAATTAAAGTACTGTACTGCATTGTTTCAAGCTTACACATTGATTTTTTGGACGTACATTAGATGCACAAAGCAGGCCTGTATACAGAAGCTCCAAAATGTATCCACTTCTAAAATCAAATTGTAATCCAAGATTACATACTTTCAGTGGTTCTTCAATTGTTATTACAGTATTAATGGTAAAAGTGCATACAAAAAGTTAATCTTAAATGATCACTGCAAGTGAAATTTTGCGAAGTACTGTATTTAATATCATAAAAAGTGGTACAGTACCCATGCTATCTTTTGTTCATTTACTGGTACAGTACAGTGCAATACTATTATCTAAGATCAAGCCCCTCATAAAAGGCTTACTTGATATGAATTTCTTAGTTTAGCACTTCAGTGCATTGACAGTGATGTACAGTATTACGCTGTAATAATAATGTTTATAGCCATATAATTAATAATGTTGATATTTGTCCCGTTGTGGGATTGGTAGGCTTTTTAGACTAACACCAGGAGTTAATAGAATATTGTAGGAATGTTAATTACAATCTATTAAATTAATAAATGGAAACGAGAATCCATTCAGTGTCATTAGGTATGTTTTAAAAGGTTTTTCTTTTAAGTTAGGTAGGTTACTTTAGGTTTATCCATTTATCAATTTAATAGATTGTAAATAACGTTTCCATAAAGTTCTGTCCAATTCTATCAACTCCTTCTGGTGTTAGTCTAAGAAAACCTACCTAACCGACAACCGGACAAATATCCACAGCCTATAATTCAACACTGAAAAGCAATACAGTATTCAGTACTGTACATTTTATTGTTACCAATGCATATAAAATATTTCCACCTTGTATGGATACTAAAAATATATTTGGGGTAACAATTGTTTATTAATCAGATAGTGTATAACATATTTTCTTTGTACACTATTTCTAATATGTATCATTGGAATATGTAACAAATATTTATGGTATGTACTCAACTTGTTATTTTGTTAGGCAGTACTGTACAGTATAATATACATGATTTTAATTCTCACAATTTTTCACACAATTTCACTAAAAGCCCTTCTATCCTATCAAGTTTAACTGTGTCCTCTTTAGCCTTTTCTAAAAGTTTTTCTTCTACTCTCTGCATTAGTCTTTCTTCCATTGTAGCAAACTTTTTATCAATTAAGTTCTCAATGCAATTTACAAGAGCTTCACTGTACTCTGAAGGATTTCCTCTTGCAGTGACAGTCTGATGCACTTCATTAGATAGAGCTTTCATCTCTTCTGTTTCCTCTGAACCCAAAGCTTCCTTTGTCCTTGGAATTGCAGATGAATTCAAACAGTCACCAGACGATAATTTTGCTAAGTATTGATCTCTGCTTGATATGTGAAGCTTCTTTGCTGAATCCACCACAGCTTGTGCTGCTTGGAGAGAATTACTTGCTGTTTGGTCTGTCATTCCAGTTGATTTGGTAAAATAGCCTTTAGCAGATTCTACCACTGCTTTAGAGGTTGATGTCCCAGCTTTAAGAACAATATCCATGAGAGGGTTGAGCTTTTGTTGGTCTAACACAATATTGTTTCCATCATTTAGGAGGGCATGAAGTTTCTCTACTAAATTGTCTCTGTGCACTGCTGCATCCTTTGATTTGTCCACATTTTCTACATTACCTTGACTTAGTACTATTTTGTTTTCTTTTCTGTCTTCAGAACACATGACAATATTTTTCATCCCATTTCTTAAGCCGTTTTGAATTTCTCCTTCAATGTTTGTAGCCAAATATGACCCATTTGCACATAAATCTTGACTACTTTTCAACTCACATCCTTTAATAATATTTTCCTTTGATGTATCTTGAGTTTGCACTATATGTCCATGATCACTGCTAATACTAATATTTCGCTTTTTGCTTTTAATTTCTTGTGTACTATCAACATCCGCACTTGACAAGGATGATCGTGATGCTGACATCATGGGGCCCAACATCATAGACATGAGAGCCATTGCACTATTTTCAATAAAAGGATTGCTAGTTTCATTTACACTGTTAAAATTAACAAGCATCTGTCGGAATTTTATTGCTTGTTTTGACATTTGTACATCCTTGTCCTTAAGAACTGTAGTCAAGTGGTCACTACTAAATCGGCTGCCAGTTTGTATGGCTGGTTCTACAGCAGTTGTTACATGAAAGCCAAATACCCATAGAGAATTCCCATGAAAAGTAGCCTTCAGTTTCAACATAACTTTATCCTTAGGGTTGTCAAATTGCACTTTACACTTGTATATTTGAGAATCTTCAAAGTCCCTCATGAGCGTTCCGTGCACAGTCTTGCAATACTCATCATGTGATCCTGTACAGACTTCAACGACTCGTGCTTCTGACAGCAACATTATGCCGAGTACAAGCTTCTTATTTTTCGATTTTAAACCTTGTTGAATTTGCCACAGTGTTTGTCCAGGTTTTGACACGAGCCGTATAAAGCAGTCGTCATCCTCTGTGGCGGGTCGAGACAGGCTGATACACTTCTCTTCATCAAGAAGGTCAACGAAGTCTCCAGTAGGGAATTTAGTCGATTCTTGGATAATGTCTTCTATTTCAACGTTATTATCGACTGACCAGCTGCTCGTGACCTCCATTTTGAGTGTTGACAAACAATAATACAGCTAGAGGACAGCAGCCAATCATAACCCAGGAAAAGTTTGAACCACTCATTGAAGTGCTTACACCCAGAAATTGTGACCATTAATGTTTACATTTCCTTCATGTTAATGTGCTCTCGATTTTTTTTATGGAGTTTAAGTTTTCTAAAATTGAAAATTTGCATATATCACCTAGATTTTATTTAAAAAAAATCAGCCGAGAAATCTCACTTTACGATAAATATGTGCTTTTTCATTATAAAAGATGATCGACTTTATCTTTGATAAAAATGACGTTGTATATAATATACCGTACTACCATTAAGAGCTGATACAAAAATATTTATAATTGAAATCCCTTTTACATAATTGTGAGCTCTGTGATTGGTGGCAGGAGCAGCTTGTGTCTGCTAGAGGTTCATTGTGTGCGACTCGGTAGCCGGTCAGTAGATGTTAACATTTTCGTACTGGGTGGAAATAAAGTGCCATTCTTTTCGTTATTAATTGGTAAGTAAAGTACATCCTTCTGTTTATTGTAGATGTATTGTTTTTTCTATAAATCGGCGATCATCATAGTTCCTCGTGCCAATTCTCCATTTTATTATAACTATAATACTTAAAAAAATCGGTAATTTTTTTAGTTTATGTCATCCCTGTAGTTTTATATCCAAACCTACTAAACCTAACCTAACCAACCAACCAACCTAATCCAACCAACCTAACCAAACCAACCTAACCAAACAACCTAACCTAGCTACAGAACCCAGGAACTTTGTCTAACCTAACCTAAATTCCTAAGATTCCCCAGACGACCGAAACTAAAATAGTACTGAAAATACTTCGGTATATGTCAGGAACTTTTTAATATCTTGCTACAAATTTAACCATTATACAGACCTTTAAAAGTTTAAGAATAATGTGTAAGGGGTAAAGTCTGAGAACAGCACTACCACCAGAAGTTGTTTGATTTCGTTTATTTTTCCTCAGATGAACTTATCATTAAAGTAAGTATTTTAAAAGGGGCGACATTTACTAGAACCTAATAGAACCTGACCTAACCAACCAAAGAAAGCTACCTAGCCAGGCAAAGCCGGACCCCCCCACCATATTAAACAGAAACTACTTTTTTATATCTGGCACCAATGAAGGCATTGGTAAGGTTTGGTAAGTTAATTAGGTTCTTCAAAAGTTAAAAACAGTTTTATAAAAATAACAATCAATTTGTAGTTTCGACCAACCATGGCTTTTGAGGGAAGCGTCATAGAAGAAAAGTGTCTTAAAATTGTCTAAACCATTGGAAAAACACATTGCTCAACTCAAGAACCGTGGTTGGTCAAAACTACAAATTGACTAAAATAACTGTTTGATCAAGAGATAAACTTACTATTGGACAAGGGGAAACTTCGGCAGACATGCACGCGATCTATTAACTCAAATTAAAGTAAGTTTTCCAATTTTTTTTTACTTTGTGACACCTAATACTAGTCGAGAAGTGATTGGCAGTCCGATTTATTCATGTAGGACCATTGTTTGACTTAATTGCGGCTACATTTGGGTAATTAGTCGGACCGGTGCAACATGCTGATAATGATCCCTGATGTGTCACATGTTCAATGATCCTTGGTGTGTCACATTCATATAATGCCCATAATGATGCTTGATGTGTTGGGTATTCTTATTGTCTCCAGGTGTATCATAAGTATAAAGTCAACAGGTGCTCATAATGATGCCAAGTGACTCGTATATTCATTTCTCTAGAAGACTCGAGTGTTCAAAATGACTCCAATTGACTCTCAGATGTTCATAATCCCAAGTGAACTACAGGACCTCAAGGTGATGTCAAATGATACATACTGTAATGGGTAGGTGCTTTTAATGACCCTGGGTAACTGATCAGCAAAGGTGGGCAATTGCTCCACAAAAAGTTGCAGCGCAACTTGTGTCGCAACTTTTTAGGTTGCGCTTGCAGTTGTGCCGCACATTTTTCCAGAGAGTTGTGGAACTGGTTGCGGCGAAACTTTTACAAGCATTTTCAAGTGCAACGCACAAAATTTCTCGCCAATAATTTAAAATTGGAATACAACCGCATAAACAAACAGGCATCCCTAGAGCCACGCATTACGAAAATTTCTGTTTCTGACGGAATGATTCAGCATACACATGATACAGGTCAGGCAGCATATTTCTGAACTGTAAACCAGATGAACCCTCCCCCCCTCACTGTAACTGCCAGATTTCATCTTTCACATAAACTCTAGAAACTAGAGTTAAAGTGAAAAATGAAATCTGGCAACTACAGCGAGAGAAGGGGAGGGAGGAATGATTCATATCATAACCAGTCAGGCAGTCAGTAGCACTGCAGCTAAGGCGTCAGTTTCTTGTTGTTTTATTTCTTGTTATTACTAGTATTATGGTGCAGTGATCCTGCCGCTGCTGACCAGGACATGGACATGGAAGTTAGTAACTGAGGCCAGTGGCAGTGAGGCATTTTTTTTTTTTTTTGTAATAAATATTGATAATATTAACTTTTTTGTATCAATTATATTTTGTTTTACTTGTAAATAGGCAAATTTGTTTATTTTATTATTTGTTTATATATTTATTTTTTTAAGTTGCGCGTTGCGATTTCGCTTGCAGCGCAACTTTTCTAAAATGGTTGCGGTTGCAGCGCAAATATTTCAGCAGAGTTATGGTTGCAGCGCTAGAAAAAAGTTGCGTGTGCCCACCTTTGCTGATAAGTACAGTACTTTACTTGCGATGAGCTCAGTAGGCAACTGAGTTATATATACTGTACAAGTACCTGTATAAGGCAAAAACTGGGGACCAAAATTCATTTGACTTTGCAAGTCATTATTCTTTCATCTTGTTTGACAGTATAATGCCTGATTTTGAATGGAGGTAATGTATAATTTTTTGTAGGAATACTTTTGAAAGGCATAAGTATATAATGATTATTTTCTTTTATTAAGTGTTATTAAAGTGAATGTAAATCAAGGAAATATTTCCCTAATCATGCTATCACTTTCACAGATCCAACTTGACGTGGTTATGAGGAAGTTACCGAGGGCAAGCCGTGTGGCTGACTTTTTGCACAAGAGCTTTGTTGTGACATGTGTGGGCATGACCCTTTTTAGCATGTTTATAATTGGAGAACGAACTTACTCCTACTTTTACGTGATCAAACCTCGACGCTTGGAAGAAGAAAGACGCAAGCTTGCAGAGGAAGAAAGTAAAAGCTTTGAAACTGAAATACCAGATATTGCAGAAACTTTGAAAGCATAGAAGTGAGTGAAGAAAAACATTAAAAGACTGTGTAAAGAACTATTATGTGATAATCCCTTTCTGAGTGTAAGACTTTAAACCATTGAACTCTTATTGCATGTCAGATTGTCTTCAGTGAATATACATACTGTACTACAGTATACAGCACTGTATATAATTAACGATAAAATTTAATTTTTCTTCTTTCTTATCTAGGACAAAAGTTCTTCATAAAACTTATTAACAATGATGAAAATTACACATTCCCTTACACGACTTGCTCCAAATATGAGCAGGATTGGTGGTGGCATTCATCGGTTTATCCATAGTACCACTGTATGCCAGGCACCACCTAAAGTTCCTCCTGTTCTTTGGAAGTTGGGGAGTCTTAATCATGTGGCAATTGCTACTCCAGACCTTGAGAAGAGTACTTCCTTATATAGGTAAATACTTGTTTGTTTAGAACAAAGCAGTTCTACCTTTTATTTACATTGTGTACTGACTTTACAGTTATTTTTTTTCTGTTTGGGAAAACTCGGTACAGTATAAAACTGCTGTGTGCATAAAAAGGGGGGAAAAACTTTGAACATATTCTTACAAAATTAAAGATACATAGCAGAAGGATGAAAATTAAAGAAAAAAATCCTTTGTCTGTGGTATTTTTGTTTTGTTACAGTGTGTGTGTGTGTGTGTGTGTGTGTATATGTATGTGTGTGTGTGTGTCAAGCAACTTGGAGGGAGGAACTGGGGAGATGGTGGTGAACATTTATCTTCAAGCAATATAATATATACATACAGTACAGTATAAGCATATGTAAAAGTATGAGATGAGAGGAAATCTCTCGAATAAAAAAAATTAAGACTGAAAAACAAGAATAATAAATATCCACAAGTGCCTGTGCTTTGGTTTACAGTAACTGAAGTATAGCTGCCAGACATACAAATCAGGTATGGTATGAATGTGTCCTGATAGGCCTAGCTCTAATACTGTATGTATGTTCTCAGTATTTGTGCATATAATCTAAAAAATAAAATTAAAAGTATTGCTCATACATACATTTGAGTATGAATACGTTGACGGGTATATAAGAACGTCTTGCAACTACTGCGTAAAATATTTTTTTGGCATCGATGTAAGTAAAGTAACAATGTTGTTAATTGGAATCATTGCCAAAAGGCCATTATTCAATATTTATTCTTATTTATTTTTAATCTACTTGTAATTTGTTTTTATTCTTAACATCTTGGGGGCTCTGAATAACTTGAGGGCCTTAGACAGCAGCACACTAGTAAATGATACCAACTAGTGAGTCATCTGTAAATGCAAAAATGGTTGTGCTATCAAATACTGTACTGTACTCTAATTGTTTGTTGTACTCGAGTGGGAGGAGGACTTTAAAGATGCATAGGCATCGTAAGGTGTTGATGATTACTGTTTTAAGTAGTAGAAAGTTATGAAGAGGCAGAGCAAGTGTCAACATCACCTGTACTGCCGTCTTGTGAGATATGGGGGATATTTTCATTTGTTTTCTGCTTCCTAATACTGTACTGTAATTGCTTGTTTTCAGCTAATGAAACTCAATGATTATAATTTGTAAATGTAGTACAGTACAGGTATCCTCGATATACAAATTGGTAAAGTTAAAAAAATCATTAGGTAAATTTTTGTATCGAATGAAAACATAAGGGATAAATAGGGTTCGATTCCGCAATGACAAAAATGCCCCCCAAAACACGAAATCTGTTCAAAAACAAGAACAAAACCTACCTAACTAATGATAAATAGTGCACAAATACTCTAATATACTTGTACTATGTAACAAATACATGAATAATAAATACTGTAACTTTGGTACATTACCTTTTGGGAGGGCAGTCTGGGCTCCGGACCACAAAGAGGTGGGCTGAGTAAGGGCCTTACTCAGCGAGATGAGGAGGGTTATCCACCTCATCACTGCTGTCTGCCAAGGACACCACAGTCCTCAGCATGTTTGTAAATTGTTGCCACAGCAGAAGCAGCCAGGCCAAACTCTTTGCCAATCTTGGTATGGCCATCCCTGCATTCATGGCACTTAATTACTTCCAGCTTTGTCTCAAAGGTCACAGCCTTTTGTGGTTTCTTCAGTGTAATACGGGTAGCCAAAGATTAAGCAGAATGCTTGGGTGCCATAACGAAAAGAGGGCACGAGTACACATGGATAAAGAGAGATCACTTCACACACGCACACACACAATGAATGGCAGAAGGAAAGATGCAGGCTAGTGGGAGATGCAGGAGGGAGGGGGTACGATCAGTGAGTGAGAATATGTCTGTGCATCGCTCCCCAAGATGGCCACGCCAGTTGACTCCCGTCGCTGAAATTTGAATTTTTGCCAGGACCCATATTTGTTTAAGCGGGAGAAGCTTTTATATCTCGAAATAGTGGTGTCAAAATAGGAAACACATAAGAAATTTTTTTGTATCTTGAACGTTCATATATTGATGGATACCTGTACAGTATTTAATTTTTCTGAGCTTTCACTGAAAAATAAAGAGATTTGACTACTACACAGAAAACAAAAATAGTAATTTAGAGTAGCATCAAATAATGAGTGAAATACAGTACCTGGTATTAAACCACAAAACAACGAGGATTTACCTTTCTATTTTTAACCTTGAGGTTTACATTATTTGACTGTAGGTTTCTCAGCATTCACGTTCTGTAACCCTTATCTCCTATTAGACCCACCCCTTGCCAGCCATGGGAAAGTTTTAGCATGGAACCCCTCCAGTTGGGAATGGATTGCAGTACAATACTGGCAAAATTGAACCAGTACAAAGTTTGCCAAACCTGGGAGCTAGTCCTCTGTGATACGGTATTACAGTTTGGCCAATGTACCCAGGTGTACTTGTAGTCATTATAATCATTAGTAGGGTTTTGTTAATTTGTTGAAATCACTTCCACCTTACTAGCTAAAAAGCAGATATACTGCTGTGGAACTGTTTAACGTAAGTGACTGACATTTCTTTGTTGCAATGAGAATGATCTGTAAAGATACAGAGACATACACACCAAGAATTAAGTGCTCTGGAAGAAGAGCTACAAATATTAGAGGATGGACTATAGGTGTGTTACCCGGATGACCATGACCTATACGTCAAGTGCAAACAGTTGATATGATAGAGGCTAGTATCATGAATACCCATTTTTGGTAAAAAAAAAAAAAAAAAAAAATACAGGAGTAGGAAATTTAATTAAATAACGAGAAAAGTTCTGTTTGCTGTTTAGGTGAATGAATAAGAAAAGGACCAAGTGAGAATATAACAAACAACTACAGTAGTGTGTATCTTGCTGAGGGGCTAGATATGTTCTGTATATGATCAGCCTCTCGCTCAAAAGTTTGCTCTTTAAATTCAAGTGAAGTTTTATAGTTTAACTTTCATACCCTAAAACACTAAGGTTGCTAAACTTGCCTTAATTTTTTACTCGAGTATCTTCCCTCGATACTTTCTGTATTAATGATGCTCTGGTTTCAGGGATGTGCTTGGTGCAGAGGTGAGTGATGTGGAAGCTTTGCCAGAACATGGAGTTTACACTGTATTTGTAAAGCTTGACAACACAAAATTAGAACTTCTTCATCCATTGGGCAAAAACAGCCCCATCCAGGTAAATTAATTAATATTAATATCTGCATGATGCTGGGACACCTGTATCCCTACCAGGGAATACTGTTTGGGTCTGCTCAGTCATGTGTTTATAGCTGCATAATCAGCTTTAGGAACGTTTTTCCTGATTGAGAGAATGCAAAGTCTTCTCTTTCCCATCCCACACATGCCACTGGCTCCTAGCTGTCTCTCCAGCTAATGTGTGCCTGCTACTGTACTTATTATTAACTAGGACAGTAATATAGTTGATGACACTTTCTTGGTTGTCTTTGTTCCTTAAACACAGTTTTCTACCTCTTAATTTTTTAATGTTGTTAGAATAGTGTAATTATTGTACTAACCTCCTCCTTCATGCTTAACTCTTAAAGCCCAGGCAACGTAAGACACGCTGGACCCCACACGCTGACATATTTTGATAAAAAATAAATAAATAAAATCCATTGCCACGTTATTAATGAGTTAATCACTATTAGAAAAAAGAACATAAGAATGGACTTACATTCAACTTTCATTGTATCATGGTTGGAGTTGTCTGGAGCATTGATAGCTGCAGAGTGATGAAAGATGTCTTGTTTGAAGCTGCTGCACACAGCCCAGAGTGAGTGGGAAGTAATGTTAACACGCACTTGCGAAACACAATTCTTACTTTAAGGCACTTCTTTTTTCCCCAAAAGAATTATAAATTACTGAACAGAGGTCGAAGGACCACAAGGTACAAGTCTAGTGACAAAGCTTATGCACGAGTCAAGTTGCCAATTAAACAAATATCCAATACAAGGTATTTTGTCCCGCCTGGTCAATCAAAATATGCAGCAAAAATTAAGAACATTGAGGAACATCACCAGGTGTCACCTCAGTGAACATGGAGGAAAATCACCCGGGCTTTATGGGTTAAAGACCTTTGTTGTTTAAGCGCAGTAATGACATTATGATGACGACAATAACTTTATTCTTTCTAGTTTTATTTTCTATAATTCAGGATGACAACAATTAGTGTGTGTTTGCACTCATATCTGTATAAGAAAATCTTTTGAAAATTTTTTAAAGAGAATTTTGTGGAACTTGGTACAAATTATATATACTTGTAGTACTGTGTATGCATGGATCATATGCAGGTACGTAAAGTACAGTTGTGGAAATGTATTCCTTCCCCCCCCCCTCCCCTGTGGTAACTGGTGTCTCCTAACAACAAACCTATATGACCTATAGTAAACCTATCCACCAATCACATTCGTCGTTACGCGACCAATACCCATTCATTCATAAACAGTGATACTAGTACTACTACAATGTTGCCGTTTGGAGACGGGTTTCCACGGGGCATAGGAACACATTTCCGCAAATTACAAAGATGGTTTTGCCCTTACAGTTTTCGGCAGAATGATGGCTGTTTGTCGTACAACAATATGCCACAACTGTTGAGAATTCTATGTCATTTTAATAATTTGTGATTTCTAGGCAATATTTATGAATCATTACAAGAATGAATTTCCTTTAGACTTTAAAAGCCTATACAGTGGCATCATGCTGTGTAACGTATAGTGATATTGTCCCACCACACATTAACAACATTAAAATCATATCGAGCATATAATTTTCACTAATACTCTTATAATCTGGTTGCACCATTATACCATCCATAACTTTTGATGACTAAATTAACTGCTGGATGGTAACAAGTGTGGGATATTTAGGGAGCTAAAATGTCTAATTGGGGACACAGTGGATTGAGAATAATTTTGATGTTACGTACTTGAATCAGGCTGTGCAGATTAGCAGTGCCTGGGCTAGTGATTTTTCATGTGCATGTGCCCGGCAGTTGCCTTGCATACAAGCTAATACTGCATTTCAAGAGGGAAATACCTAGGCAGGAATTTGTCAGGTGCTACATAACCTACCCTCTCTCCATACATGGTTGATCAGGGAGTTCATCAGTGTATTAGGATTGTTACCTATGTCAATGATAGTATTAAGCTGAGAAGTTGTTGACATGAGGTGACAAATTTATTACCTCACATGATAAGTGTTACTGCCACTGACATCAGATTATAAGGGGGGGGGAGTGGTACAGTAGTTAGGGCTGATGATCACGGGTGCCGTCTTTGCCTCCCCACACACCCCTTAGGTGTGAGGTGGGGTGACAGAATTATGACATCACATTGCAAGGGTTACCACCACTGAGACCACTGAATGTTTTAAGATGTTTGTTTAACTTATAATTGTATTATAAAAAATCTAGGCAAGCAAATATCCTCCCAAAATTTTTCGGGTAAATAAAAAAAAATTATTCAGGCATGTAAATTGCAAGTCACTTGCCTTGTACAGGTAATATTCCAAATAATCTGCACAGCCCGACTTGATACTGAGAAGTGCCTCAACAAAAATCAACTTTTTCAAAATACAGTAATCTATTTTATGAAATACTGTACAATAGTTCATCATTCTGAATATGAAATGGGGAATGTAGAATATTTTCCTAAAAATAATTTTCCATGTTAAATGAGGAATAATTGGGCAATTAGGCAACTGTCTCTGTGACTACCGGTATGCATGGTGGTGTGAGTGACATGTATACTGGTCCTCGCGTGTGTTTGAGGAGGAAGTTATATAATGATAATAGTATTTTGATATTTGAGAATAATGAAGTAGTTAGTGTACAGGTATTTGCAGAAACTAATAATATAACCAGACTGACAAATATATTGTTTACTATGGTTTATTTCTTTCCTTAGACACTTTATGTACAGTAATTATTTACTTTATGGAAGCCTTTTGGTTGGCATATAATTTACCATATCAACAGGGTGCTTTGGTTACTAAAAACTACTGATTATTCTTTGAGAATTCAAAATGGTAATTTTGGCAAAATAAATGTTTTAAGATGGTTTGACATCTTAACCCTTTAGTGGGCAGGGGCTCCCCTCAGCTGAACAGAAGCATCTGGCATTAGCCAGAATAAAATACCTAAGGGATACTTTGCCCTCTAAAAGTACCATATGTTAAAATGGTAAAACAGGTTAACCTATTGTATCTTTCTAATCTTTACGGGTACTCTTTTTTTCTCCCACTACTGTATAGACAGACGGACTAAGTTCATGGAAATTTCCAACAGCCTCACAGATACCCTGTAATTGAATTTCAATCACGAATCTTGAAAAAAGGGTTTCCCTTATAATTGCAAATATAGAGTTCACACATTCAGGGGGATAAGTGTATTTTGTAATATGAAACTTATTCATTTTTTTTTCAATTTATTCTTGAAGTCATGAAGATGATATACAGGGGGTACAGTAACTAATACTTTGTTAGTGACCATTTTATATGTTAGTGTTCAAATATTACTTTTAATTAATATAATGTGCTAATCCATGTATTTCAGAATTTTCTAGATAAGAACAAGAATGGAGGCATGCATCATATCTGCATTGAAGTAAATGACATTAACGCAGCAATGAAGGACCTCACGGAGCAAAAGATTCGATGCCTTAGCAAAGAACCTAAAATTGGAGCCCATGGCAAACCTGTAGTGTTTTTACATCCAAAAGATTGTGCTGGAGTCTTAGTTGAATTGGAGGAATCTTAATTAGTTACACTTAGATAATTTGCTGTGTTAAAAGCAAAGAACTAGACATTACTAGATGATTTATTTAAGCAAAAATTCAACTACCATTTATAGGACCAAGATTTAACATTGTTTTTAGGTTTATGATTTAGAATGAGAAATGTGTTAACTTTAAAAATTAAGTGATTTTGAAATCTTATTTGGTATTTTTTTTTCGGGTACTGTATTACCAAGACATGTTTGTAATAATAGTTACCGGTACATTGAGCAGTTAAATCAGCTGTGTAAATAAAGGGAATATCTTCAAGTAGAAACATTACTTACCTTTGAACTTCTTGCACATGTATGTTTACATTGTGATTATGTCCTGTATGATCAGAATTTCATCTTTTTTTTTTTAATGTATTGCCTACTTATTGAATACTGTTTAATGATCAACCCTTTGCTGTGTTTTGACCTGTGACATTGTTCACACAATGTCAGCTACAGAGGAACACAGGTTCGTCTTCCTGGGTACCTCATAATTGGCTGACATTAGGCTCTGTCTCCCTAATTAACCATCCCGGTGCTCAAGATATGGGAATCATTCGTGATGACTGATTACTTTTTTTTTATGTATCCCACTTCCACTAATCTTGTCCAGACCTTGGCGTATTATCCAAGTTTCTTGCCATTTTGTAAAGTGTCCACATGTGTAGACAAGTGAATTTGAAGTCCAATGTTGGTATACATCATCTCTGTGCTCGTATAACCTAACCTCTTGTGTTGGATCATGTCCTGATGAGCAATGTATATAGTTAACCCTCACTTTACGCGGTTAATGTAACCCGGAGGGTCCCGCGTAAAGTGAGAAACGCGTAAAGTGAATAACATAACATATGGGATTAATTGAAATGGAGTCCGGGCCGATCCCCAAACTCCACTTTTTGACGACACACAACTATGTTGTAGTAAAAATTTTATCTTAACTTTATGATGGTATGAAAAAACAAGTAATATAGAAGAGGTTAGGTTAGGAAAAATAAAGGTTAACATTGGAAAAATAAAGGTTAACATAGGAAAAATAAAGGTTAGAAAACTAAAAATTAGGTGGAACACTTACGGTAGTAGAAGAGATGGGTCGGCATACGGGGATGGAGGCTGGTTCCGAGGCAGAGGGCAGATTACTGGCCCTCAGGTGAATCACCATTACTAGGTGAATCACCATCACTGTCACTTGCAGTTGTCAGGGCTTCCCTGACAAATCCCTCAAAGCCATCTTCACTGCCACTATCACTGGCTTGGGCTGGCTGTGGTGGGTTGCGGGCGAAGAAATCTGTTATGCTTTGCTGACGGCTGGCGTTGATGTTGTCGTGATACACCTTGATGTACGGCTCCATAGCCTGCACCAGCCGGGTATGGAAGACTTCATAGCGGTCATCGTCATTGTCGCGGGAAAGGAAGGACTTCATCTTCTCTGCACACTCCATGGCACCCTTAATATCACTATGACTTAAACTGTGTTCTTCGGAGAATGACGCACCTTCTTCCTCCTCTTCACTGACATGTTCTTCTTCCAACATCTCGTCGGCAGTCACTTCAGGATCTCTGATCACCTCCAGGATGTCGTCGTTGGTGGTCTCAGAGAAGCCTGGAACTGTAACAGTCTGCGCAGCTTCTCTGGCAAGGTCCACTGCTACTGCAACATTCTGAACCTCACCAGTCACAGATTGACTCCGACTCTCACCTGGTATTCCATACAACACATGTCTCCATGCGTGACGAATTGTAGCAATAGACAGCTGATCCCATGACTCCACCAAGAAGTCCACAGCTTTCTTGATGTTAAATACTCTACAGTATTTTTTGCTGTTCCAACTGTTGATCCTCATCTTCTTCGCTCTTGCTATCGGTGGTGGTGTCACTCAGGTTACGCAACTCTTCCCTGGTGTTGGTGTAGTCGTTCAGGAGCTGGAATTTTTTTGTTGAGAATGCAGCTTTTACATTACAGATTAACTCTTGGTCCATGGGCTGTAATATAGACGTAGTGTTGGGAGGAAGGAAGACCACTTTTACGTTGGGGTGACGATCTAACAGTAGGGGCGAGTGTCCTGGTGCGTTGTCCAGCAGCAACAAAATATTGAATGGCACATTCTGTCGCTCACAGAATTTTTTTACATCGGGAACGAAACAGTCATCAAACCAGGAGAGGGACAGTGTAGAGAACATCCACGCCTTACGTGCGGTCAGCCAGTGGACATTTAGCTTGGTCATGTCCATGGTTTTGTAGGCGTGCGGCTTGCGTGCTGTGTGGATCACCGATAACTTGAGCTTGCAGGTACCGGAGGCATTGATGGTAAACAGGACGGTGATGCGTTCCTTCTGCATTTTCCGGCCCCGAATCCTGCTGGCATTCTTTACAACGAAGGACTTGGAAGGTAGCTTTTTCCAGAAAAGACCAGATTCGTCCATGTTAAACACCTGGTCGTCACTGTACTGTCCTTCCTCCATAATCTCACGTAAAAACGGAGGAATTTCCCGAGCCGCAGCACGATCAGCACTCGCTTCTTCACCACCAATGTTTATTTTGGTGATCTTGTTCCGGATCTTAAACCTCTGTAACCACCCAGAGGAAGCATTAAAGGGTTTGGGCTCTGTAGTTCCCATCTTTCGTGCCACTGCCATGTACAGTTCACGTGCGTAGTCCTTAACAGAGCTCGTGTCGACCGCCATGTTCCGTCGCGCCTGACGCACCAAGTACCTCACAAGTAATTTTTCTGTCTTGAGAAGCACCTGGTTGTGAAAATACTTGATCATAGAAGCACCTGTAGACTTTGTGATCTTCATGTGCTCCTTTATCTTGGCTGCATCCTTCTTTATAGTCCGGATCGTAGATTCGTTCACACCATGCTGGCGCGCCAAATCAACCTGCCTTGTTCCTTTCTCCAACTCTTGGATGATGGTATACTTCACCTCGTAGCTTAAGGAACGTCGTGTCTTCTTTGGTTTAATGCCGCTGGGTCCAGGTAAGGAAAGGTTTCTCTCTGGGGGTGGTGGTCCGGTGGAAGCCATTTTACGGAACAATGGATGCGCGTTTACACGGAGTGGCCTTGAGGGATGAAACTGCCGCGGCTAGGTCAAGCGTCGTCTTTCCTCCCTCCCCCGGGTGGACATGTCATAATACTTTAAGCCAATTACAGCTAGCAGCAGAGGGGGGTAGGGATGCATGGCCAATCACAGGTCTGATACGTCATATGACGTCAGTGATAACGCAACAAAGACACACACTGCGCAACCTTACCGCGCCGCTTGCCCAAGCGGAGGGAGGAGGCGAGGAGCACAGGCAGGCAGGCGGGCGGGTGGCGCGAATCTAAAAATAGCGTCGCGCCGGACACTCCGCGTAATGGGGTTCACGTACCGCGTAATTTGAGCACGTGAGGTTCTGGCAAGGCACCGCGTAAACGTGGAAACGCGGAATGAGGGACCGCGTAAAGTGAGGGTTAACTGTACAATATATGTAATGACCATGGAACATCTAAACAAGAAATCTTGGATTTAGATACAAATTGTTCTGCCTAACATACAAAAATATGCAAATATCTATTTTGCAAGTTCCAGACCATAAACAAGGATGAGACTAGACATTAATCTTAGAGAAATGTTTTATTTAATTCTTGAATATCTCATTTAAACAGCATTTACAAATTAACTATTATTCTTTTAATAATTCCACATGCAATGCAACGAAGAAACAAATAATAACTTTTAAACACAAGTAGACCCTCTTCCCTTCGGATTTTAATGAGACATTAACTAATATATCAAGATTCCATATGAACTACAATGAAGCTATGAAATAGAAAATGTGTTTACCATAAAAATAAAGCCTTACAATATTGTTTGTATATTGAAGTTTGACCTGGCTTCCTGAACCTAGATATTAATGACCCTAGAGAGCTTTTGAACTCGGTTCAAGAGAATGTCGCCCTGTTTTATAACAGCCTGATACTGCCAGTTCTTTGAGTCCGGTCTGTTAGTCTCAACAATACCACCAACTTTGTCTATCTTACAGTGAAGACGACCAGCAGCAATGTATCGCGACAGCTCTCTGAAAGATTTAAATAGAGATTAAATACAAGAATATTATTAACATATAGTGGTTACTTTTTCACATGAGGGTCAAAGACTACCTGCAAACTTACTATAATTTAAGATATGGTTGAACAAATGTATACACCTGAAAAGTGAAAGGGGTTGGTTATCTTTCAATGTATTTTATGGTTTCTTACTGTGGTAATTGAATGTTGACAAACATTCAAATGTTTAATGTCTATTGAACAAAATTTATTGTATTGCTAGTATAAAAGAAATGTCGAAATAATTCCATCTACTAGAACATGTGGAACCGTAGACAATACAGGTAATCTACAATATATTTATTACAGGTACTGCATATAGAAGAGTTACCTTATTCTTAAATTAAAGGAATGAAACAACTGCACTAAGCATGAAACTCAGCAGCATTATATGCCTTGCAATCATTCTCATGGCATGGAATATGAATGGTCCATTACACAAAACCCAAACTCCCTACAATAATTATTGATTTCACAATAATCACACACACAATAACTTTGTAATAAACAAAATCTCACCTATCAATGAACTCATTAGAAACTCCAAATGCTGTGGCCATGTAGTGAAGTGTAAGTGAACGGTAAGACTCGAGCAGCTGTGAATAGGCTAGAATCCGCATCTCCCTCACGTAGTACCTGTAGTGTGGTGCTAACAGACGATCATGACGAAGCTCACCTTCAACCCAAGCTGCAAAATGTCAAGATAATGAGAGAGACCATATTAGATATACACTTAATTTTTGTGCTGTGCTAATTTACAGGATGCAACATGGCTAGGAAAGTAAGAGCAATGTACAATAAGGTTGCCTTCCAACACCATAAACATCAAGGATGAAAACAAAACCAGGATAGCTGATCACTCCATCATCAAAACTATCACAGACCAAAGTGAGGAATCATGGATTGTAATACGGGTACTGTACTGTAACAAAATGTGAATCGCTATACTGTACACAGGACTTGGCTATAATTTAAAGGTAAAAATTTGAATCAGTAACTACAGTACTCCAGAGGAGGAAGAGTGAGGGTGTGTGTGTGTGGGGGGGACTGGATGTCAACAGGTTCCTGGTAGGGTTTCATGGATATTGCTCCCTGAGGTTCTTAACTTACCAACAGCAGCAAGAAAAAAGGGGAAAACAATCACTCAAACTAATGTTGGAACCCCTCACCCCTGATATCCTGTGGGTACATTCATTTTCACTCTTCTTAAACCTTTCATTCCAGCATGATCCAATAAGTCACCTAGAATCTCTATAATATTACCCCACATTTGTCCATCATTATAAAACAAATAGTTCTTGTATATCTATCACCATCATCATCATATTTTGAAAGTACATTCACTCCATTCCCTTTCAGACATTTCCAACACATTTAATTTCCCCTCATTAAAAATTTCATAAACTAGCTTCATCTTATCATTATTCATATCATTTCCATTCCCTCACAGAAAACCAGTGCTTGTTGCAGGAAGTTGTGAGGCTCTGGGAATTTATGGAACATGGGGAATTGGAACAATCATTCCTTTCTGGTTCAAATCCCAAATCCAAAAAAATTTGAACTATTTTAAAGTTCAATATGAAAATATACAAATATAACTTACAGAGCTTTTGGAAAAAGGTGTGGTACTGACACTCGTACAGTGACAAGAGGTAAGATTTGAGGTCCTCAGCTGAATGAAGCACCTCTTGAATTTCTGAACCCTTGACAACTTTGGTTCGTAGGTCATTACGGGGTAGGGCTATCATACATACTAACACAGTGTAACCCACAAATCTGAAATAAAAATATTTCTAGTTTAAGTACAAAATGCCCTAAGCTCTGGGAAAAAAAAATATGATTGGGAATATAAACGGATTATTTTTCATATTTCATCTACTCTGTACCTTTAGTGTACTAACCTAGTGTAGTCCATCAATTCATATGAGGTAAAAGTACTGATAGTGTCTAGGAAGAGGTTGGCAGCCTTTTTAAAGTCCCGGACAGCCATAGAGTAAACACCCTCGTATACTTTTAGTCTGTTGCGACGATCCCAATCACCTCCCTCTTCAATGAGGCTAGAAAGTGAAACAGTTAATAAATATAAGAGGCCATCATTAGATAATCATATAATGCTTGTGAAAAAAACAAACAATATTACACACAATTATAATTATGGGCATCTCTTCTTATAAAAAAAAATGACCAGTTAAAAAGCCACCTATAATACAGTATACATTACTTGGAAATTTGTTTGAAGCTTTGTAACCCGAAGTCAAGGGGTAGCCCAATATAGACCAGGTAACTTACCAAACTCATTGGCTAACCATTACCTACAGAACATACTGTAATCTGCTAATCAATTTATATACAGATCTCCAATCATTGTTGGGTAGAGACAAGGATTGACATAATATTCCAACCTGCCAAGAGATCAAACCAGGACCACTTGCTAAAAGTTAAGTATGCAAAGCATGACACTTAAGTAACTCCAAGAAATAACATAATGGTTTTGGACCTGATTTTATAAACCTAAACTCAAGAACAATAATTAATTTTCCTCTGCCAGGTTCTCTACACTGATGATCAACTCCATAGGATATCTTCTACCATGTCGTGACCTTTTCAATGCAATTCCTGCACTATCATTTTATTCTGGCTATCGCCAGATGATTTTATTCTGCTCAAGCTCAGGTACAGTTGTAATGACCTGGGGGTTCAATTACTGTCTCAAGCCCATGTGGGTTAGTAGGTGGTGCCACTGGTGGTATGAATTATAATAATCTGGTAATGACTAATAAATGGGACACTGCTTCTCATTCTCTCCCATATTCCTCCCCAATACTCCACAAAAAATTCCTGCAGCCAAAGGGTTAACATGAACCAGATTTTGCGAATCATCCTCACCAGATAACAATCTGTATTGTTACTGGGTAAAATAAGAAAGCACAATGCATATCCTGACATACTGTACCTTGTAGTGGTAACTGCAAGAATCTAAATCAAAGTTATATTTAACTCAACTTTCATCTATAATAATCAGTTTTCTGAGATGCTTCCTCATAAAATTGTGTACAGACCCACCACAATAAGCCAGTGAGAGACAGACTTGGAGCCGAAGCTGAAGCTATTGGAAAATCACAAACCTGAAGCTGAATCCAGCCATTTAAAGTCATGAAACCAAAGCTTCCAAAGCTAAATAAAACTTTAACACCATTAATGTACATGTCGCCATGGGATGTGACTGCTCTGCCTCAGTGTAAACAAGTACTGTACTATAGATGTCACACGTGTCTGTCAGTTCACTTTGGCGAGTCCTGGAGTACACAGCTACGGTCTACCGTACAAGCTTTTCCCACTTGTTTTTCCATCATTGCCCATTGTTTTTCTCCTCGGGAGGTGTACCTCATATTTCATAAAATAACATAATTCGTAAGGGCTAGAGCCCCTATATTTCGAGTTATGGGGGTTTTAGTATTTTATATTTTCTATATTTCTAGGTCAAATTAGAGCATTGAAATTATATTTCCAGCATTCAGCCATGAATGAATTAAAAATTTTTACAGAAAAATAAAAAAAAAGAGATAATACAAACACAAATCACAGAGAAGCGCTGCAATGAATCATCTTAAGATTTTCAAAATGCTGCCAGTCAGCCAACAGTACTGGGTACTGAGGAGGCAGGTAGGCAGAGGTGGTACAGTACTTGTTTAAGGATCAGGTCAGGCCATTGTGATAACAGACCAAGAGAAATAGGAAGGATCAGTGATATCACTGAGGCTGTAAAATGCACCTGGACTTTCTTAATAGGTCAGGTCAATGCATGAATAAAAAAGTCTGGGATCAGCTCAGCTGTGAAGTCACAATACGGTCAGTGTGCTTGTGTAATGAAGAAAATCCAAAGTCAGGCCAATGGCTTCATACCAAAAACCTTCGAGAAAGTTTTGAAGCTGAAGTCAAGCCCCCTTAACCTGGCTTCCAAAAGCTGAAGCCAGCTTCAGATGGTGAGAGAGAGCACTGGAAGTGTTATAAAAAAGACACTTTACAAGGATAATGTGTTTATGGAACAAGTAAGCAAAAAGGACGTAAGTGAATGGTGATGTGGTTGGCAAGTGCCTTGGCAGGCTGTGTCTGCACATTATGTGTATCAAATCACTAATCAGAGGCTTAGGTGGGCAATGACCCAGGCAGAACCCCAAAATCATTCACTACTAAAGGGGTAAGTCACCACATGGGATGCCATATTTTTGTACCATACATTCAAGATTTCAAACTTATTCTAAAATTCTAAATACTGTCGTTGCCTGTGGTGTGGTACATACACATGAACACCACTACAAATGGCAATACATCACTTGAGCTGGGAGCACCTTGGAGTAGCAGCTGCAATGGACTACATGTATGTCACTTACTGTATTTTGTTTATTATTGACTTAAAATCATTGTGTACACCAAATTTTGTTATTAAAATATGTTTTCTGAAATTTTAAGACATTTTGGGGAAGTATTTTTATTTGTAGGAATGTATCACAGCTTTATAATGGAAGTCAATGGGAAGATATGATCCAATTTATGACAAATTAATTTCAAAAGGTCTTCAAGAATGGAACCCTTTCGTAAATCGGGAATGGCTATATACAGTCCAGTACTGTACAGGAAAAGACAAATAAAAAATAAAATAGGAGCCCTACTTTCCTTGAGAAAGAGTGTGGGTGTAAAAAAAAAAAAACCACCAACGGGTTTATGGCAAGATTATGGTCCAAAAGAACATAAACATAAACAATGTTAAAATCCTGATAAATCACTTAGTCTTAAAACATACCTCTTTGCCTTCTCCAAATTTCTTGTTATAAGTGAGTGATCGAGATAAAAGAGGCCAAGACGAATATTATGAAAAACAAGATCCAAACGTTGCCCAAGGGACACTGTCTTGTCGTAGGTTTTAGCAAAAGCCTTCACTGCTTCATCCTGGAGAGAAGAAACAAAAATAATAATTTGTCACAAAACTAAACCATTATTGTAGCTGTGTCCCTTCACTTCAACAAAAGATTCAATCTATCTGAAATAGCTCACTGAAATGTTAAAAAGTAGACAATCAAGAAGTTTCCTTCTGAACACCATGGCTTACCTTGTCTCCAATGCGTGAGAGGTATTCAGCTTTCTTTAAATTTGCCTCTCGAATCTCAGTCTCCCCCATGGACTTCTCTGCTTCCTCAATTGCTTCATTCATTGTGTTCAACTCTGTTTCGTTTACCTTCTTCATTCTCTCCAGCATGGCATTATCCAGCTGCCATCCCAAATCATGACAGCATTCCTCATAAAATGGGGCCATATCTTGAAAGAAAATTCAGTTATTAATAATACCTGTAATGCTAGTATTCCACAAATACCGGTATTCAAGCCCATAAGTAAGAGAGTGATTTTCTAGTGTAATACAGGGGGTCCTAGCTATATTTTGTACTGTACCAGTATACATCACTTCACATATACTGTACTGTACAGTACAGTATGTCATTAACAAATATTGGAAGAATTTTTTATTATACAAACTAATTGGGGCAGACCTAAGGGTGTGCTGGGGCCAGTAAGCCCGTACCAGTTGTTAAATTTTAATTTTATCACTGAACTGTGTTGATTTTTAATCAAATATTCAGCAGACAATGGTTCAATTTCTTTGTGCATGTTTACAGCCGATTCGCCAGGCAAGAAGATGACGGTAGCAATGCGTGTGATGGAGGGTGCGGGAGTGGGTTTTGAGAATTGCAATTAAATGCCAGGTAGCGACGTGTCCTCCTAATATTACGCATTTAAGTATTTACTAGAGGTTTTAATTGCCTGTATGTTGGCCTGGCGAGTTAATGCTAGGCATTTACATACCTAGGTATAAAGCTAGACGTCGCATTCTGGATTTTCCGGGTCATGGAAAAATGTTCCCGGAAGTTCCAGAAATTGCCCTTTACATCATCTCTTGAATCCGGAAAGACATCCTCCATCCCCTGAAATTTTTGGGTATTGGAAAATTTTTCTTGGAATTTCCGGAAAATACGCCTGATTTTCTTCTCTCAAACCCGAAAAAAATCACCCATCCCTGAAATTTCGGGTTATCAGGAAAACTTTCTCTGAATTTTCTAACAAATGTGCCCCTCGGAAAATCTTTCCCAAAGCCAGAATTTTCCGCAAAATTCCGGCTTTGAGGACAATTTTCCGAGAAAATGTAAATTCCGGCCATTGAAGAGTTCTGGGTTTGAAGGATTCCGGCTAACCGAGATATGTATATATATATGTATATATATATATATATATATATATATATATATATATATATATATATATATATATATATATATATATATATATATATATATATATATATATATATATATATATATATATATATATATATATATATATATATATATATATATATATATATATATATATATATATATATATATATATATATATATATATATATATATATATATATATATATATATATATATATACTGTACTGTATATAAACTACCGAGCAGCAAAGAACAGTCTCGCTTTATACCTCTTTGTCCCTCTTCTTCAGAGAAGCCGCAATGGTTGATTTGCAATTACAAGCTTCAAACATAGGTTAGATGGATATATGAGCAATAGGGGTTGGGTGAAATGGGACTGCCCAGCATGGGCCAATAGTCTCGCTGCAGTTTCCTCCATTCTTATGATCTTATGTTCTTAACACAAGCTAAAATCGTGCACAAGAAAAGCAAATCGTGAAAAACAAGTCCATCTCTGGAAGCTGTGGGAAGAATATGAAGAAAAAAAATATCACATCTACTAATTCCCTAAGGAATTGTCAGTGTCTTCTTCCAAGCTTCCATGAGTAAAAACAATGTTTTTTTTTGTTCTTGTTTTTTAAATTTCAGGCTTTCACATACTGTTTAAGTGAGATGATTGCAGGCGTATTAACATTGTTTTTAGTTTTGTTTCGTTTAGGTCTTTAATATTTTTTTAAGTGAGATGATTTGCATTAGTACCGTAATAACATTTCTATTTTATATTTTCGTCTTTAATAAGTACAATTTTGTAAACTAGGCGGCTTGATTATTTTTTATCCCAAGCAACAGGTACTTTCGTGTATACATATTGATGTATTAATTATTTAAGAATTTTCTGGAATGTATTGCCCTTGAAATGGTGATGAGAATGAACGCGGTGACGAAACGGGTAAAGGCAGTGGTGACGATACTGGTGAAAACAGTGATGACGAAATGGGTACACCCCCATGGTATATATATACAAATAGATATGGACAAGTCATCGGGGACTGATCGCGAGCACCTTCGTGCCCGGTGAAAGTTTGAATGCTTGTGCTTGGCTATCGTACAGCGAATGAGGGTGCGCCAATTTCGTAGACTTGCATCGTTTTCCATAGTAAATAAAATTGTAAATTAATGCCTTCCTAAAGAAACCATCGACATGGGACCAGGTTTGTTCCACTCTACGAATTTTTTGCGATTTTTCCACCATGTTTGATGAAAAACGATTGTGCCGTTTCAGCTGCCCAGACAGACAGACAGACAGCTAGTCCTATAGTATATTAGATTATCTTTTGAATTGGGTGCAAGTAATCTTGGGTCCGAGTTACCTCATGAGTTGGGCACGAGTTATCTTAGGTACGAGTTGGCATGGGTACGAGTTATCTTAGGTACGAGTTGGCATGGGTACGAGTTATCTTAGGTACGAGTTGGCATGGGTACGAGTTAACTTTTTTTAGTAAGATTTATCTTGGGTATGAGTTGTCTTGGGTACGAGTTGTCTGGGTACGAGATTACCCCAACCTATATGACCTATAGCAAACCTATCCACCAATCACGTCCGTCGTTTCACGACCAATTTCCATTCATTCATAAAGTGATACTACTATTGCAACGCTGCCGTTTGGAGACACGGGTTACCAAAGGGGCGTACCGTAGAAACACACTACCATAACTGTACCAGTGTACACATAAACCTTCACTCACTGTCTTTTTCGATGGCCTGCATGAGTTCTTCTTTCATCTTGGAATCATTTTTAAAGTCATTCAGCATCAGTTTGAATTTCAGCTGTGAGAGATGGAGGTCTGGGTTTTTCTCCAGACCCTGTTCTTCCAGATTCTCAGACGGCATCTCTCTCGTGTTGTCTCACTCAGCTGTAATGACTAGTCGCCTTGTCGGCCTCCTGTTTGTCAACAAGCTCACCAATCGTCGACTTACTACACTTTTTGTAGTTTTGTAAGTTTTTTTATAACCAGAAAATTGTATTTAATTTTTTATTTAATTGATTTAAAATTTTTAAATCATTGCTATTCTAAATAATAGTTTGCAATCTAAGTCGATGAAACATCAGGTATCTACATTATTGGAACGAAGCAAAGATCAAAGCCAATATACAAACGTAATTTTTTCTAATGACCAAATACTATTGCCTCGATAATATAAAAAAAATAGTTAATTAAATCTCCATGTTTAGGCTTTGCACCACCAACAAGAAAGCTCGCCAAGTTATCATACGGAATGAATATAAGGAAGTACTTTTTCACACAGCGTGGTAGACCTATGGAACGGCGGTACTGTGCTTCAGTGGCCCTTATTAGGTAAATAAGGTAAAATAATTTTATTTTCATAATTCACGTAATATTTTATGCTTTTCGCTACTAATCAATTATTGCTACCGAAGATTCTATCTTTGATGCTACTACTACAAATGGTAATATTTATTCAATAAACTCCTCATACAAGCTAGGCATAATAATAGAAGTTTGGCGTGCATTACATATACAGATACTATATACAGGCATACATGTTGTTCGCATGTAAGTATACGGTGTACATATGATCTAGATTTTAGATAGAGAAAACTGCCGCGTTCACAGGTATTTCTGGACTTGAGGCTTTTTAGATATTAGGCATGGCAGTTGTCAGGCATGGCTTTGTCAGCTGTCCCTGGTCAAATAAGCTAAATATCAGTTTAATTATCTAAGGCTGATTTGAAATTGGGCCTTCAAGTTCACATCATTTCCAGTGACAATGCAAAAAGCTCTTTTAAAATATGATGAATATGGTTTAGTTATAAGAGACATGACCCGTAAATATGTTAAAAGTAATATTGGATTTCTCTATTTATTTTAAGATGCACCAAAGAAAATCGTAAATTTAGAAGCTATATATTTGGGAACTGCCAAATGTTATATAAATGTTTACACTAGACCGCACACTTGCCTGATGTACCATAATGAACAATCTGATTTTATTTCATGCCTACTGTCTTCAGGAACTATCACATACACAAGCGTGAATTGTGATAAACTTATTTAATTGTGGTAAGATATGTTTTGATGTGACTGACAATCTATATATATTTGCATTTTCGATGAGACAATATCGGATATATCCCAAGTAAATTTTTAAAACTATCAAAATATGGAAAAAATGCATTTAGGAATGTGAACATCCAATGAGTGTGAAATGTTAAATTCATAGTAGGTTACAAAGTGGTACGTTAGAGAAATTTATTGCACTTACGGTCGAAGGCGTGTAATGAGTTTCAACCTTGAATATTAACACGTTAGGAAATGCATGTGGTCTACAGGCGTTCAGTTATTAGATGTTCCGTAATATCCCCAGTTTTCAATGTAACAATAACAATAATAATAATAATAGCCTAATAATTATCGGTTTATTGAAAAAGTTCTGCAGCCCGAAGGCTGAAAATATACATTGGACATAAATGACTTATTACATACATTGACATTGGTGGTTTAACAAAAGCCTTCATTAGAGAAAGGTAAAGGAACATACAGATTATTGTTTACAGAGGTCACGTGGATCTTGTGCGCTGCGGTGTTGAACAGAAGACACGTAGTGTAGTAACTTCCTCACAGATGGTGTTGTGGGGTATGAGATGTTTGGTTCGTACTCAGGATGGGATGGAGAAAGGAAACTCACAATGTGCTCTCTATATACATCTTGTATTGGATGTACAATGCAGCTTGGTGCTGGGAAGGCAGCATGGTTACAAGCGTGATGTAGAGAGAGCTGGTTGGTGAGGACGCTCAGAGAAGGACAGCTTGTGGCTCGCCAGCGGGAGAGAGTACCGCCAGGCAGGCGGAGGAGGAGCGAAGGCCGCCAGGCAGCGGCGGAGGAGGTGTTGCTGGCTGGTTGGTGTAGGTAGAAGGAGAGACAGATCACCACGAGGCAGGTCTTAAATAGCGGGGGTAGGTGTGGCTTAGCAGTTGACCCCCGCTCCGTGGTGTATGGCGGCGCTGGTTGACCTAGACCACGAGGCATACACTGGGGAATTGGTGGGGTCGGCTAGGCAGCGACAAACAGCGTTTGTAGGGGAGAATTCCACTACAGTGTTATGAGGGTCTAGTTCCCAGATGCGGACTGGAGCAGTTTAATCCTGCCGAATCAGCGACATCGTCCAATACAGCTAACTGGGGAAATTTCTTGAATCAATTATAGCAGATCGCATTTAGAGAAAAGCAAATTAATCTACGACTCTCAACATGGGTTTACAAAGGGAAAATCTTGTCTAACAAATCTGCTGACGCTTTTTAGGAAAGTCTTCGAGGTAGTAGATAATGACGAAAATTACGATGTTATTTACTTAGACTTTAGCAAAGCATTTGACAGAGTACCGCATCAGAGGCTTCTGAGAAAAATTAAGGCTCATGGTATCGAGGGGAAAGTTTTAAATTGGATAAAATCATGGCTCACCAATAGAACGCAGAGGGTCAGCGTAGATGGTGTTAAATCTGAGTGGGGCCGTGTAACCAGTGGGTGTTCCCCAGGGGTCAGTACTAGGCCCACTCTTGTTCATAATCTACATAAACGATCTAGATACTGGGATCAGCAGTGACATAAGCAAGTTTGCGGATGACACCAAAATAGGGCGGCAGATTAATTCAGGGCAGGATGCAAATGCACTACAGGAGGATCTAAATAAACTGCAGGAGTGGTCAGAAAAATGGCAAATGAAATTCAACACCAGCAAGTGCAGCGTACTTAATATTGGAAGAACAAATACTGTCAATGTATACAGCCTTAACAACATCAACCTAGAGAAGTCGACTTGTGAAAGAGACCTAGGGGTATTTGTAAGCCCGAACCTACGGCCTAGAAAACTGTGCGTTAATGTTCGAAATAAGGCAAACAGAGTATTGGGTTTTATATCTAGAAGTGTAAGTAATAAGAGTGTAGAGGTCTTATTGCAACTACAGTATATCTTGCGCTAGTCAGGCCGCACCTCGATTATGCGGTTCAGTTCTGGTGCGCTTATTATAGAATGGATACCAGTTCACTATGAGTCGGTGCAGCGAAGAATGACGAAAATGATTCCGGGACTTAGAAACCTTCCATATCAGGATAGGTTAATGAAACTAAACTTGCATTCCCTAGAAAGACGAAGAGTGCGGGGAGATAAGATAGAAGTAATTAAGTGGGTGAAAGGAATCAATAAAGGGGATATAGATAAAGTTCTTATAATATCCGCGCAGGATAGGACTCGGAGCAACGGATTTAAGTTGGATAAGTTTAGGTTTAGGAGGGAGATAGGAAGGAACTGGTTCACAAATAGGGTGGTGGACGAGTGGAACAAGCTTAGCAACTTTGTAGTAAGTGCTGGAACGCTGGAAAGCTTCAAAAGGAGGCTTGATAGATTCATGGATGATAGAGCGTGGTAGTAACTCTCGACAGGAGCTGCCATGCACAGGCCAACCGGCCTATTGCAGACTCCTTATTTTCTTATGTTCTTATGAGGAACCTTACATGATACTGTAGCTGTGTAGCAACTCATTCACTTCTTGGTGTCGTAGCATCATGGGGACACCACGTGGTCTGGTGTCACAGGACCTCACTCACTCAAATAAGTGAGGTGTGGTCCCAGGCCTCCCTATCGTAGACGGATTAACACATAGCTGGTGTTGTTGAGTCTCACGGGCAGTTATCATTGGGTACCTGGGCCCTCACTGTGTGAAGGTTAGCACTTAGCTTGGATACGGCTCAGCTGTTACAGTTGAGTTGTTTTTCACTGACTTAAGCACTGTTCACCGCTATTCAACACTGGTTCCATTCCTGTCCTAAATGAAATAGTAACTTCTGGCGAGAACTTGTTGATATTCCGGTGGGGAGGAGGGGCTCAGGAGAGGGAGTTGGTATGGGCCAATATAATAGTTGACCTGGCTGCTGCCAGAGCAGCGCCAGGTACGTCTTGACCCTTCGGTGGTCAAGGATGAAGTGTGTATGGATGCATGTATGATGTATGTGATACATCTCTATTGTCTTACATTACTGATTTATTATTGGTATTCTTTGGTTCTAAGAAACATCTGTGGTACGTTTGTTTATACAAAAGAATTATAGTACCTTGCCAAATGGAGAAGAAAATCGAAATATATCGTCCTATGGATAAGTAATAATATTTCGTTATTATATGAAAATCGTCAATTTGTGGCTCGAATAATTTTATTTTTAATAATTTTTTTCATGTAATTATGAGGATATGAATAATGCCAATTTATGAGATAGGGTAATATTGGCGCTCATACGATAGTTTTCTTTTAAGCGAGATAGTTTGCCAAGCAGCTGATCAAGAAGGTTTGTTTTGTTTGAGAGAGTTCCTGGAGTGCGATGTGACAAGTAATGGAAATGGTTCGTATTTTTACCGTTTTAATAAGATATTCAGCATCCATTCAACTGTTACGAAGATCCACCATCTAAGGTAATAATTCCAAGCCATGTGGTAAAAAAAAACTTACAGGTCAATCATAGGTTATGAGCCAGAGCGTAAGTTAAATTTGACGATTTAGCAAATATTATGACAGGGATATATTGTTTTATATGCTTTATATAGAAATACTGCAGTGTATTGTGATTCGTGTCAGTAAGTATGGTAATTGTTGAGAAGGGGGATTCCACGAAACTAAATCAGTGATTTTTGCATTTAATATGTAATAAAATCGTGATAGAAGTTCTTAATGGCTGAGCATGTGCAGGTGCAGAAACCTTGGCAGACAGTGTTATGTTTTGTAGTAGTCAGGGAGAGTTGTTTGGGATAACCAGCTTCGCAATGAAAAAATCGGTAAAATTTTAGTTTGTCATTCTTATATTTAGGTAGATATCCAAACTAACCTAACCAGCCTAACCTAATCTAATGTAACCAAACCTCACCAATCTAGTCACAGAACCCAGGAACTATATACCTAACCTAACCGGGTCGGCTTCGCCCCCCCCCCCCCCCCCACCAACCCCCTCTAAGATTCTGTATTATTGTTTTTAATTGCCCCACAACTTTTGGCCTTTTTTAATATGCTTATCATGTAGTTTAGACCATTTTAAAAGGCAGTGGATATTTGGCCGTGACCGGTTAAGTTCCTACTAATGCTATTTTACCATGAGTGCACTCTGATTGGCTATTTGTCCATTAATGGCAAACAACGTGAGAACTATATTTGATCGTGACTGGTGGCATTTGGCATTTATTTTGCCTGAGTCAATCGTTGTATGGTTATAAACATACCTAAACATATTTCTGTTCTGCATGGAAACTTATCATTATTAAAGAGGTGACATTTACTAGAACCTAATAGAACCTGACCTAACCAACCAACCAAAGAAACCTACCTAACCTTACCTAACTTCCTAGCTGGGGGGCAGACCCCCCGTTATATTAAGCAGAAAGTACTTAGCCAATCAGAGCGTTAGTAGGAACATAGTCGGTCACGGCAAAATATTCACTACAATTTTAAAACAATTTTCATTTTTTTTCTATGACATTTCCCTCACAAATGACATATATACCGGGGAGTTCAAAGAGGTTAGGTTAGGTGAGGTTTTGGATGATTCTGACCTTCATTTCTATCACAAATTGCCTCTTTTTCGTGATTTTTTCACACCATTAACCCCCTGGCTCCCACTGGGGGTCTCCCATTATTGTTGGATAAGGGTGCTGAGTAGTTGGGAAGATTAAAATGAACGAGAGCTTTATCAAAACTGGACATGTTTTGTTGACCTAGTGGAGTGGGGCAATTAAATGCAAATTTACCTGAGATTCCCCAAATGACCAAAACTAAAATAATACCAAAAAAATGTTGGTGCCAGATAAGAACACAATGCCAAGTAAGCCATGGCTTCCTTGCTTACTGACATGCAAGTGAAGCAAAAAATGTAAACTTTTGTATGATTGTATACTCTGCTTCTTATGGTTGGCTGGAAGAGGCATAGTTTGGTAATCAGCTTATTTGTAGAAAACACACTAGCTCCTTGGTTATGTGACTTTAGGTAGGTTAGGTTAGTCAGAATGAATGGCATCTTAGTAACTATCATTGTACTGTATAGTCTGTCCACCATGCATGCATATTAGGCTGCCGTACCAGTAGACATTGATGTTTTTCATACAGCTTTTGTACGTATATCCTGTGCCTTTTTTATTCTCTATCCCACTGATGATAACTAAAGTATTTCATGTTCAAATGCTTTTTTACTTATGGCCTGTTTCTCCTTCAATATTAATACCCAACAAAGTGGGCAGGGCTTTGACAAAGAGGAAAGTGGCGTTAAATCACATAAAACATGATATTCTAAAGGGTAATCATAATGGTTTTACTTTATATTTCAAAATTTTTAGGTTTCCAATGTTTCTGTTACTGTACCGTTCTCAGCAACACACCCTTCTCATCCAACTTAAGCTTAGTACCTGTACTTCTTTGTCCATGCTCACCCAGACCACTGAAAAATTCTTCACTATATCTTGAGAGAGGTACTTACTTCCCCCAGCTCCAGTAGGTACAGTGATTTCTGCTATAACGCGTGTTTTGATAACGCGAATTTGCTCTAACGCGATTTATGAATTAGGAACGATATTTGTATAACGCGAACGCTTGTTTGCTATAACGCGATTTTTGCTTACTATTTCTCCAATTTTGTGAATATAGTAAAGAAGAATATCAACAAGAAGCGTTCCGGTGATAAAATTCCTGGTGATGATCGTAAAAGAAAGGATATAACACTAGAAGAGAAGCTCGATTTTATCAACCTCAAAATCACCCTTCTCCCCCATCAAGTAAAGTGTTACATTTACTGTATGATTTCATTATTAGATATGAATGTAACATTTATTTAGACCGTGCTATCCTTTGTGTTAGGCTAACTACTAAATCTTTTCGATTTCGAGTAATCTGCACCTAACCCTATTTTCTCCATAAGCCCTGTTATTTCTATTACGCGATTTTCTATAACACGATATTTTACAAGAACACAATTATCGCGTTATAGCAGAACTACCTGTAAGTTCATTAATTTGATTGGTGTAAATGTTTAGGTTAGGTTAGTGATTGTATCATTGCCACAATTTCCCATGGAGGTGTTGGGCATGTGCAAACTTAGCACCAGCTGTTGTGAACAGTGCATAAAACACTTTAACCCTTAAATTTGATAAAAAATAGGTAAAATATTACATGTACGCACTATATTTTGTGTGTTTTAGCTTCATACTTTCCATTTTCAAAGCTCTGACCACTTTTGTGGGGCATGAATAAGGAAGAAGAAAATTTTAATATCTGGGATTTTCCACATTTTATTTTATAAATAAATTTTATATGTTAAAATATAATGAATACATGTATAGTATACTGTACTGTACTTTAAATTGTAAAATCAGCAAAGTAAGCCAATGAACACATTGCAGTTGGTCACACAGAGATGGAGCTTTTGGATACAGTATGCTTTTGGCCACTGTCTTAACCATGGCAAACCTAGATTTATCCCAAAATGTGCAATTGTAAATTAATCTTAAAATATACCTTGGCACACCCCCAATGTTAAGTGAGGACTCCTTGTGTTTCAGTATTTTATAATGGTTTTTCATCACATGCGGTACAGCACAGTATTGGTTTTTAAGTCTATACTCTATTTTCCATGTTTCATAGCCCTGCACACTAATGAGTTCGGATATAGAGTCTGTAAAAAATTCATGTGTTTTGATTATCACCAGTGACCTCTATGTGACATTTTGAATCTGTTCACCCATATAAAAGTCAGATGTAGCTACTGTATGTCTTCTAAAACTTTACAGTATATTTATACGTTGATGTTCACAGAGGTGATAATCCAGCAGAATGTTTGGGATGGGTAACTTCGACTTCCCCAAATATCGGTCAGAGTGTAACTCTGTGGCCTCCTTCTCCTCTGATGGCTCTAAGAAGAGGAGAGGATCATTCATGTAAGTGGGGAATAATGATACTTTTTATTATGTAATTTAATAAGAACATGATAAAAAATATACCAGTACTGGATTTGTTAATAGAGAACATATTTTCCTACTGAATGGATGGTGTTGATTGATGCCAAGCAACTAAGAAGGGTAGGTAAAAAAAGTGTTCTCTTGATTACTGAGTAGACTTTTTTAATTGTTTTGAAATTTGTTAAATAAAATGTTAAACATGTCACATACCTTTGTGGCTTGGGAATTTAATAAATTCAGTCGGCCCTCGATTTACACGGCAGTTGTGTTCTTTAAAAACTTCCTAGCAAATAGAAACCATGTAAAAATTACCGAGAGCCTGTGGGAAATAAGGGATGAGGTTCCAGGTTCACAAGTTGACCTCTTTCATTCACCCAGTAAGTTAGGTATATACATGCAACAAAACACATCTTTTCACTGTCTGCAGGTGACACATTTAGGCCATAAGCTCAATTATATGTGATGAACCTTCACCCTAAACATGTCTGTGTACTATCCCCACTTTATTTACTTTAGCCAGTACCTTTTTCTGCTTCTTCACACACATTGTACAGTATCAGTTTTTCAGCTACTTTCACTCATTTTCCTTTTGGAGGACCTGGTAAACACTTACAAATCGGTAATGGGCGATAAAATATGGGTAAAGGCGAGCAGACTGCACAGCTATTACATAATGAATGCAAACAGTAGACTAATAGGCAGCATGTGTGGTGGGGGGTTATGGCATAGTTTGGGTAGGCCTAATGAAGCAGCACACATGATTTGTACACAGGTCAAGCATGGCATGCTTCTTGGGCCCATGTGGCAACCAGTGGTAGTCAGCTTAATCATAATTTGTAATTGAGTAAAGCTATTTGCCCAAAAAAATTATCCTGCTTCAGTTATCTTCAGTCTTTGGCTAGGGAATGCCTTTGTGAGTAAATTGACAGACACCTCTGAACTTTCCTTGTCCTATTCATTGGTAAAAAAAATAAATACCTGGCTGGCTTTTGTTTCACAAGTTGCTTTGTAAAGGGCATCAACCATAACTGAAAATTTTTTCTTGAAATCCCAGTTTATGGCTGAGCCCAGTACTAAATGATTTAGATGTATTACCTCATCCAATTTGGTAGCTTGGAAGTCGAGTGGACTTGAATGTAGCTATAGGTGCCTGACAGTCCCAATATGGTTGACCTGGATGATGATCGACTTGCATCAGTTGGCTCATGCCTTGTTGCTTCATACTTAATGGTGGCTGTTGCTTTTAATTATCCCTTCTAGTAATTTTGTTATGATGGGATATGTAACTGCAATAATTTATAATTTAGTTTCAGTTGATGATGTCTTAAAGGTTAACCAGGGTTTACTAACTAGGCCTCATGGCTATAATTCGTGAGTAATTTGTTGAGTACTGTAGTTTAGGGTTCATCCATAGAATGGGGTACTGTATTAGGCTGAATCCTTCATATATTTTATATTAAACAATATCTTTAAAAATGCAGTAAAAATGTACTCAATATGTAATGTGTAATACAATACTGTACTGTACGTATAGGGAAATATGGTCAATGTTTTCAGAACCCTCACACAAAATATTGATAGTATGTACAGTACTGTATTTTACTTTTGAATTGATAAATCTTACTCTCTCTCCACAGTGATAGCAATGATGATGATGGGGAATCTATTAAAATTCCCAGAACTGCTGGGGATTGGAATAAAAGGCAAGTTGCAGTGTTTCTTTTTGTATCCAAGAATTGTGATATAGGGCTATCATAAATGTACTACCGGTACTTGTAATGAGTATCCATGGTGTATACAGGTATAAGCAATTTTTATATTATCTATACAAAATTTACTTTTCTTGACAAAAATTACTAGTTACATTGGTAAATTAGGCAATAATTCCTATATTAAAGACAACTTCTTTAAAGAATTTAAGAAATACTGAACAATATACTGTCATCTTAGGGAGCCATTCCATTTGTAACATTTTTAATGTCTTGCATGGGTCAGGTATTGCATGGTACAGTGTATCAAACTTGAATCTTCCTTATACACATTGTGGGAAGTCTAAGCATGCCATATCTTATAGGTTGTGTACAATATGTTAAATTTCTCAGCATCCTTCCATCCATATTTAAGTTACTTGAAATACTGTACTAGATCACCTCCAACTTCATCACTGTATTGGCAACCATAATCTTACAGTCTGTTCTCATCATTTACAAATAACACAACCTGTCATGTGGCCAGGGCATAGATGTGTTGTAGCCCACTGAGCCAGGGCTTCTATAAGAAGTTTCCAAATACTGTACAGTACACACTGTATATGTTTCATAACATCACTAATGTAAATAAAAGAGTGGCAGTATAGTGAAATCTCTATTTAACAGACTATTTGGATATGAAAGTCCATTATATAAAGGGTCTGTAAGATCTGAAACCTCCATCTAATGAATTATATAGAGATGAAAATCTGTTATATCGAAGGTCCATTAGATGTGAAACCCCCCATGTAAAGGAATATATGGAGAGACAAGTCTGTTATGTGGAGGTTTCACTGTATCACACTACCCTTTTGCTCTGAGGGTTATTGGTTTGATCCTGGGGCACTTTCAGATCACCAAGTTGTAAGTGGGTGCTGGCCACACTGCCTCCTTGCATATTAGAGGCTTAATATGCAATACAGTTTGCATTATCTACATCATCCTTTATGGGCAGTCATACCTATGGGGTCCACTTTTAGCAAGTAACTTTATATTTAATTTATTTCCTTATAAAATGCATTATTATAACTAACATGACTGATGATACCCATCACAGAAATGTAGTACAGTACAGGTACTGTAATGCCCGTTTAAAGTGCTTTTGAGTTGTGCATTTTTTTTTTAAACTGAAATATATATTAAGTATGGTATAATGCAACAGGTCTATTATGGCCTGCCAGTACCGTAATTGATCAACTATATAATAGATAGTGTGTGGATGACCAATAATTTACATGTGTGGTTATTTAAAATGCAGTACAGTATAGGTAATTGAGAATCTAATGTACATAATAGATCTGTGTAATGAACAGTGCATTATAGTTATTTAATAAGCAAAACTTCTCTAAGAAGTACTAACTAATAATAAATTATATTTTTTCAAGCAGACAAAATCACAGTGAAATTGAAAAGCGCAGGCGTGATAAAATGAACACCTACATAATGGAACTCAGCAGCATTATACCAGTGTGTACTTCTCGCAAGCTTGACAAACTGACAGTTCTTCGGATGGCAGTTCAGCACATGAAGATGTTGCGTGGCTCACTCAACTCTTACACTGAGGGTCACTATAAACCAGCATTTCTCTCAGATGATGAACTTAAAAACTTGATATTACAGGTAAATATTGAAAGGCATTTTTAATGTTTTTCTTCTTGATGTTGTCAGCAAAGCCCTGATGTAATTTAGTTAAAGTTACTGGATGGATAATACTGTAAGTACAGAAAATTTACAATTTTGTGATACATACCATGTTTTTGTCACATTTTAACTATGATTTACTGTATAGTAAATAGACAGAATTGGATAGTGTGTTGGCTTTGGGAGTGAGAGAGATATTTGTATGAAATGTTTTTGTTTCCATAGTTGGGTGATTCATGTGGAGATAGTTCCATTTATTTCTGCAGATCACTTTCTAGGAACACATTGAAGTCCAGGAAGTCATATTAAAAAGTCAAGGGTCCCTCTTATTTTCACTTTTAGATATAGCTAATATCTTGTTAGATAATGTGGTAATGAAAATAAAAAGAGGTAGCTATTATTGACAAATCTAACAATAGTTATCAACTTAGATGTGTGATCCTCTATGCAGTACTTCATCTTCATTGGTGACAGTTTAAATTCAGCTGCATCAATTTCTCATTTGTAGAATTGTTATACATCTGACCAGGGACTAATAAACATCTCACCTCACACCATATCAAGTGGGTACTATTTATCAAGATTATGTGGGGTAGAGACTGCTGCCGTCTCCCTGACCAGTAAGGAAGTGCAAATCTGTCAGGATGACTGTTGTGGGAGAGACATTGCTTTATCTGATAAACACATCGATGGGTAGTCTTTGATTACCTAAGGAAATTGTGACCCCACCTTGCCAGCTGTTCTCACTTGGGGTTGGCATCAGAAAGGGCATCCAGCCATAAGATTTTGCTTCAACTTGCCTGATGGCAACTGGGTCACCAGAGTTGTGCCCATCCCCTGATCTCTGGTGCATTTTCTGCTTTTTCATCCTTGGTTTGCAAGGGGGGGGGGGAGGGGAGACATCCTGTTTGGCTTTGCCCAACAGTCGCCATCAGGCACCCACAACTAACCCACACAGTCATCAAAAATGGCCATAAAACAATAGTGGTGACAGGAGATTCCACTTTATGTGGGGGCTGTGTTTAATTAAAAAAAAATGCATAAAGCAATTTCACAAAAAAGTGTAATTTATTACATTTATTTAACCCCTTGGGTATGAGGGGTCTCTCTGTGCTGAATAAAATCATCTGCTGTTAGCCAAATGGAATATTAAAAGTGGCATCTCACAGTGAAGGGTTCAATAGGGATGCATTCCGAGGTATCTAGGGTTTTTGTATGGGGAAGCCATCTACATTCTCAGCCCAACATAACAAATAATACCTAACACACAAATGACAATATGGGTGTTTAAGGTTCTGTGAGAAGTGATTTGTTAAGAGAATTAATTCGGGTCAATATGTTAGACTTTTTTTTCATTTTCTATGAAATACAATTAGTCAAAGAGGGGGGCTGAAGCACCTTCATCTCTTCCCCCCCCCCTCCCTCCGCTTCACCACTGGATACATTCCATGACCTTTACTGTCAAAAAATAATCATCACAGATTGAATGAAGAATAAACCTGCTACTGACATCCTATTAAAAAGTATTAATATGGATAAAATGTAATTCCAACTGAGAATTTCTCACATTTTATTTGCTGCTGAAAGTGATGTGGATTGCATCATTGAGTTCCTAATTTTGTCAGGACAGATATTCTTCTTTCTACTGTACAAGTATCCCTCGTGTAGTGTTAATTCACTTAACATCAATTCAGTTTAGCGATAAAAAAAAGTTGACACTCTTTCTCACTTAACATTAGGTCAAAATTCGGTTTAACATAAGAACATAAGAATGGAGGAAACTGCAGCTGGCCTATTGGCCCATACTGGGCAGTCCCGTTTACACCCAACCCCCATTGCTCATATAAGCATCCAACCTATGTTTGAAGCTATTCAGCGTATTCGAGTTAATGATGATATTTGGTAACTTGTTCCATTCATCCACTACTCTGTTTCCAAACCAGTGTTTACCTATTTCGCGCCTAAATCTAAATTTGTCTAACTTAAAACCATTGTTACGAGTTCGCTCCTGGTTGGATAGTTTGAGTACCTTTGTAATGTCCCCTTTGTTTAGCCCTGACTTCCATTTATACACCTCTATCAGGTTGCCCCTCGTTCTACGTCTCTCAAGGGAGTGCAAATTAAGATGCTTTAACCTGTCTCTATACTCAAGGTTCCTAATGCCCAGGATTAGTCTTGTCATTCTCCTCTGAATTCTTTCCAAGGATTTTACATCCATTCTGTAATATAGTGACCAGAACTGAACTGCGTAATCCAGGTGTGGTCTCACAAGCGCAAGATACAGTTTTAGGATGACCTCGCTAGTCTTGTAACTAACACTCCTTTGTATGAACCCAAGTACTTTATTAGCCTTGTTAATAGCAAAAAAACATTGTTTACTTGGCTTAAGGTTCCTACTTATCATTACTCCTAAATCTCTCTCGCAGTCGGATTTCTCTATGGCATCGTTGTTCATCTGGTATCTGGTTTCCCTGTTTACATCTCCTATACTGAGTACTTTACATTTGTCCACGTTGAATTTCATCTGCCATTTTTCAGACCATTCAAAAATTTTTTTTAGATCTTCCTGTAGTTTTGCGGAGTCCTCATCAGATTTAATAACACGTCCTATTTTAGTGTCATCAGCAAATTTACTTTTGTTGCTGTCTATGCCGATATCTATATCGTTTATGTATATAATAAATAATAATGGTCCAAGTATTAAGCCTTGGGGAACTCCACTAGTGATGTTGCTCCAATGGGACTTAAAGCCATTAATGCTCATTCGCTGTTTCCTGTCCTGTAACCACGCCCTAATCCATTTAAGGATATTACCTTTGATGCCATGTGCTTCTACCTTTCTAATTAGTCTTTCGTGGGGTACTCTGTCGAAGGCTTTGCTAAAGTTGAGATATACCACATCATAATTGTGCCCCTTGTCCACCGATTCGAAAACTGATGAAAAGAATGTTAATAGATTAGCTAGACATGAACGCCCGCTTGTGAAGCCATGTTGGGAATCATTGATCAACTTGTGCTTCTCCAGGTGGTTTCGAATAGAGTTTGAAATGATTGATTCTAGTAGTTTGCCTACTATTGATGTTAGGCTGATTGGGCAGTAGTTAAGAGGATAGTGATCTATCCCCCTTCTTGAAAATCGGTACTACATTCACTATCCTCCAGGATTCTGGTACTACACCTGTTTTTAAGGACATGTTAAACAGCTTAGCTAAGGGCATACTAAGCTTTTCCTTACATTCCTTTAATACTCTGGCAAATATCTCATCGGGACCAGGTGACTTATTAGGCTTCAGTTTGTCTATTTGCTTACTAACATTGTTACTAGTCACTACTATCTTGCCTAATTTGTTTTCTTCACTATCTCTGAATAGAGTCGGTGCCTCGGGTATCATGTTTAAATTTTCGGTGGTAAAAACCGTTGAAAAATATTTATTCAAATTATTGCTCGTTTCTCCGTCGTTGTCAGTGAGCTCGCCGGTATCTGACCGTATTGGTCCAATCTTTTCTCGTGTTTTAGTTTGATACATTTGGTAGAATCCTTTGGGGTTTGTCTTCGCCTCCCTTGCTACCTTGCTATCCTTACCTTAGTGATAGCTTGACTCACTGGGGGAGGAGGAGGAGGAACTAGGGATGAGGTGGCCTGTGATGGATGTTGTCACTGTTACATGTAATGAAGCTATTAAAGTGGTGAAAAATCATTACAATCCTCTAATGTGGCTTAGAAATAAAGAAAATATAATATAAAACTATAAAAAAATAAAAATGTAGAATGTGTGTGTGGAGTGAACGTACATGTGGAGGCAGTGGGCTGTAACCGTGTTGCTGACTACCCCACCCCTCCACCCCACCCCCCAATGTGATGTCACAGCATACACAAACACATCTCGGTCAGCTGGCTGAATTGCATCGTGTCACCCAGATGATGGTTTGAGTGTGGAAGGAACTATTTTTTGTACATATTATATGTGCTGTTGTATTTTATGATAGGCTATGTAAGATTATATATCAATGCTATATTTTATCATAGCAAATTTTTGTTAATTTTTGACTTATGCAATTTGAAATTTGTTTGAATTAGGTTCACCTTTTGCTCATTAAATTTTTTAACTCTGAACCACTATTAGGGAGTATCTGTACAGTTCTGTACTCAGTGTTTACAGCCTCGCCATTTGAACCTGTTGTTCACCCTCCGTGCTTTGCTGTTTTCCCTCGTTTAACGATAATTTCTCTTAATTTTAAGTTTTTCATGAACACAATCCCATCGTTAAATGAAGGACACCTGTACTTGTATTGTGCTCTCCCCAAGCCATATGCATGACCACTTGCAGATGCACCATCACCTGTATGTAATGGGCACTTTTATCTCAGTTATTGTCCCAATTCGACCATTAAAATAACTAAAACAACAAGGGGGTCTGGTCAAGGTAGGGATTAGAAAGGCATTAAGTCCTTTGGGAATTACCCAACTCTGTGTCCCGTGGCATGGGTGAGATGCTGCCTCAACCACTTAAGCTCTCCACAATGTCAATTTGATATGTTTTAATCATGGAATGTAATCTTGAGTATGATTCCTTGGTTTTCTAAGATGATGGAATTACAGATCCTAAAAATGTGGAATTGATTCCATGATTATGATTCCTAGTTACAATTACAACATGTCTGCTTGTAGGGCACTTTTATTACTTGTTATGGCTATTTTACATTATATTTGATACTTTTAACACTATTTCTATATCATATTCGGACACACACAGAGTTAGTATAAGGCCGTGGATGATGCAGCCGACGTGACGTATTTGTGTGAAACAATTGACATATAATGAAAATTTCTTCCTATACAGTATTTGTTAGCGACGTATATGTGAAATGACGTATACCAGTAGAGCGTATAGCAAGGACCCACTACATACCTGGTACTCATCCGTTATAGTTTATAAAAGGTAGTTCTAAAATTTTGATTAACAATATAGTTTTTAGAAGGAGGAGGTGATTGTTATTTAATTAAGCAGTTGTCTGCTTGCTCATACTTCCATGTACACTGCAAGTGTTCATTGTTTTTATTGGTAGCTGGATAATTTTTTATGGTGGCCAGTAAGTGGGGCTACAGATCTTTGTGACTAAATTTTTGGGGTTTTTCATGTAAGTCTCTCTCTCTCTCTCTCTCTCTCTCTCTCAGTATGTAAAGAAAGCCACTAGGAAATTTAAATCATGTTACACCAATGTATTTTTCCATAACTTCAAAATGACAACCCAGACCTGGCGAGGTGGGCACTCAGGATTTTTTGGGCAAGTTTCTTGGACCAAAATATTCCATTAAACAACTTTCATTAGGCTCTTGTTTGCATAATAAGATGTATTTTTACCTCTTCAAGAGCTCTTCTTTTCAGACTTCAGATAATACCATGAAAACTACTTACGAGTATATCCAGACTAATTGATGAAATTATCAATAGTATAAAAAAAATTCTTTCATGTTTACCTAGAGTTCTGGTAAATCTTGAGTTCTCTAATAAGATCCTCTCAAAGAGATGCACAGAAAACTCTTAAGTCTCTCTTGAAGTAGAGACTCCTGATAAGTGTGTTGATAAATACTCAGTGGAAATACTGTACCATTGGTTGGGCCTCCCATGGAGCACACAATTTGGATAATAAAGCTTATTCTAAGCAAAGTAAATTCTTATTTGTTTCTTGATAGGGATGCAATTCTAAGGCAAGTTGACCTTTGTGTCTTCTGCACTGTACCTTGTGTTCCACTTTAGGAGATTTTTCCCAATAGTACAGTAATGTACTGTAATGGCATAAGATGTGCTTTGAAGGCAAGGGCTAAGGATTAGTTATTTATAAGTCTTTAATTATTGTAAATATAAAACAATGGATGAATATGAGAAACACAAACACCCCACATCAATGTTTAGTTGTCAACTGAGGTATGATACTGTTTCCATATCTGGGAGTACCATGCTGCAACCCTAAATGTGCATCTTATGTAAAGTTTGAATGAGTGCTTTCACTGTGCTGTACTGAATTTTTTTTTTCTGAAAATAATATACTCTAAAGGGTAAGAAATCTGTAGATATGAGTTGGCATAACTTTTTCAGTTCCAGGACAAAACATACCAAAAGTGTGTTGTAGCCCAATTACTGTAGACAACCTGCCTAAATTCGTTTATTTAAAATGTTGTTTTATTTTATTAATATTTTATGATTTATAGTTTTATTTGGTGATTATTGCTTGAACATCATTAATTTGTGGTAGAGGTGGTTTTGGGGCAGTAAAGTATAGATTGTGGAATGAATTCCTGTTTTTGACACATGAATAGTTGATTGTTTTATGGAATTGCTAATGCAGACTTTGAGGTTAGGAATTTCTGGAAATACAGTAAACCTTCGAAGATCCGGACCCGGTAAATCTGGATTTCGGAAGATTCGGACCAAAAAGTTGGGGGTTCTGGGCTAAGAAGCCTCCCTAAGAAGCATTCCCAAAGCAGGGTGAAGGTAGTTTTAGGCTTAAAGTTTTTATCTTATTAAATGCCACAGACTAAAATTAGCAGAATATAACTTGCACTGCTGGAATCCTTGCAAGACAGCAAATAATTTGAATACAGTATAGATATCATATATTTTGCAGAAGAGATAAAAATTTTAGTCCATTAGTGTAGTACATTTTAGTACAAGTTTTTCAACTCGTATTTTTGGGTAGATATACATAACTGTCTTCGTTTATTTTTACTCATTTGCAGACACACACTCCTAAATTCATATTGCAAAAGTAAAAGAAATAATTGTCCTAAGGGCAAACCTGTACTGTACTCAAATGTACTAAATACTGTAATTACTAAATTTTTTGTCTAGTGCAAACTATAGCATGTTTATATTCAAATTAATCACCATCTTACAAGAATTCCAGCAATGTAAGTTATATTCTCCCAAGTCAATTCAGTGAAATTTTATAAGTGACAAATTTAAACTCCCTCTATATGACAGATAAATAAATACCACTAGGTAACCTTTGTTACCAGCTGGTCAATACCTCACCTCACCCCCCTCATCCCCCCTGCCTGGGTGTCAACCTCACCTCCCCTTCCCTGGAGTGAAGGTAGTTTTAGGCTTAAAGTTTTTATCTTGTAAAATTTCAGACTAAACTTAGCAGAATATTGTATAACTTGCATTGCTGGAATCCTTGCAAGATTGCAAATAATTATGCTCAAATTATAATTTGAGTAGAGACATTACATATTTTGCAAAAAAGATAAAATTTTTAGTCCTTTGGTGTAGTACATCAAGTACAAATGAGTACAGTAATCTGTTGCTCAAAATTATGTCTTTTTCACTGGAAAAAGTCTGTATAACGAACTCCAATAGTCAGTATAATATCTACTTTTTTTTTTTTTTTTTTTTAATATACTGTATATACACCTGTATATCATTATTTATCGTTTTTATGCATTTAGAAGATTCGGACAATCGGCTTTTCCGGACAGGTGGTACCCCCTTTAGTCTGGATCTTCGAGGGTTCACTTTAGCTGAATTATGACAAATTGTGGAGGTTTTACTGTATGTCTGAGGAAACTTTTGTCCCAGGTAATTCTTCTCAAAAAGCTTGGAAGTTTCTTGGGAGACTGAGTGTTTTCTCTGTATAGAAGATAACTTTGAAATGGATTGTACAAAAAAGGAAAGATCTTCAAAATATTTAATGTAGAAAATCTCAAAACGATTTTGATAAAATGACCAATGTTTATTTTATGATCAAGCTTTTTTTTTTTTTTTTAGGACGTAAAAGTAGATAGTGTATTTGATCCAGGAACAACGAGACCTCCCCTCAGAATGGTTCCTCAGAGTTTATTTACCATGAAGGACAGCCACAACCATAAGCTCCTCTTTTCAGTGTCTCATTACCATCAGAAGTATTCAGTTAAGAATTATATATTTTCTTTAGATTGGAAGAACTGGAAGCAGACTTAGCTATCTGTTACATCTTCTTCTCTTGTTCCAAGTCATTAAAAAGCTTCAAAGATTACAATAATTACACTCATAATGTTCTCTTTTTTTTTTCTTTTTTAACCAGTAAGAGATTAGTTCCCTCTCCTTCCTTTGGAGGAGTGGTGTGTGTGTAGGAATGACAGGTGGAGGAGTGATGTGTGGGGGAGTGGTGTGTGAAGGAGGTGAATGTGTGGAGGAGTGATGTGTAGAGATGTAGTGTGTAGGAAAATGCTTGTAGACTTGGAAAAAATGTTAGATTAACAACAAAAATGAAGGAGCTTAATAATGAGAGAAACATTTTAAGTTGAATGTATTGTTGTGAAAATAACTTTGAAGAGAAATGTAGAAAATTGGTTTATTGAAGGTGGGATACTACCTGTATAATTGTTATAGTAATGTTATTCTTGATGATTTTAATTTTGTTTTGTTATTAGCATTTAATACAGTGTATTTATATGAGGTTCTCGTATCCTTTCAGGCAGCTGATGGTTTCCTGTTTGTGGTGGGTTGTGATAGAGGCCGAATATTGTATGTTTCAGAATCTGTCTACCAAACTCTTCACTACACTCAGGTATGGAGAATAGGATAACTCTTTAAGTTACTTTGTGCAGTATAGGATTTTGTCTCATGTTTGCTACATACAGTTTCATTCATATTCCTCTTTTAGTATTTGATGAAATATAGTAAAAAGACCAATATACAGGGTACATACATATTTAGTAAGACCTCTTACTATATGGAAACTGTTACTCTGTTCTCTCACAATAAATTGGTTTTGAGACAGTTAAATTTGATGGCCACAAGTTAGGTCGAAAAGTCATACAGTACTACAATACTAGGCAATATTCAGTAGTATCATTGATTGAGCACTTCCTTGAAAGTAAAAATTTAAAGTACTGTGCAGTAATTTAGAAATACCCGATTCCCTCTTTTCTTTTATATACTTCATGCAAATTTTGATATTGTACTTAGTGCCATCCACTTGGCAGATCATGTAATGCACACTCCTGTCTTTCACATAGGTCCTAGGGCACCCTGGCACTGGTTACTGGGCAACAAACCTTAAAAATTTGTTCCAGAACATAGCTGGTTTTTAGAGCATTCTGGATAAACAGACCTGTATCATTGTTTATTTATTCTTTCCAATAAAATTTTGTTATTTGTCCTTTTCCCACCTCTTATCATGTACTTCATCTCACCTGTCTTACCTATGATCTTATCTTCACTGTTTAACTTTGTTGTAGCTCACTGCATTCTTTATATATTCCAGGGTGAACTGCTTGGAACAAGTTGGTTTGACATATTACATCCTAAAGATCTAACCAAGGTGAAGGAACAGTTATCATGTTCCGACATCAGTCGTCGTGAGAGACTAGTAGATGCCAAGAGTAAGTTACAGTACAGTACAGTACAGTACAGTACTGTACTGTACTGTACAGTATATGTTTGTTGTATACTCTCATGAAGGTTATTAGAATTTGTTACCAATTATCAATCTAGTACTGTATTTTTGATATCTAAATTTACTCCTCAGTTTGCTCTACTTGTGTGTGTTGAAGGAATTGCTTTATGAACCACTTGGATATAAAGCGTTTGACTGCATATAATTTATAGATGGTTACATGGATATTTGATTATTTTATTATGAGCTCCATACATTACAAGCAAATAGCCTTGGAGTGATGGACTGAGTTCTCCCTTGAACAGTAAGATTAGTGCACTACAGTATTGGCTGTGCTTGCCAATGGTGGAACAACTCTTTGGTTGTTAAGGGGTTGGTGTAATCCATTTGCTGCTGAATATAGTACTAGCAGACTCTGATTTACAAGAGAGGCACATTCCTGAATAGCTTCTTGCCTATCAATTTTTTGTAAATATACGCATGTTTTCCAATAAACTTACTTTGTAAAAGCAGACTTGTCCCTACAAAAGAAAAATATACAAATACCGGGTAAATAAAAAATCACTTAAATATTTTAAATGCCACAAAGAAAATAATCATAATGACTTAAATGATTGTGGATCCATGTTTGACAGATCTGTGTGACTGTAGTATCTCACATAATTCTCGTTGACATCATTCACGTCTACATCATTGTGTGTCACCATGTCTTAACGAACTACAGTACAGTACAGTACTCTTATTATTTCTAAAGGAAAACTGCTGAACTCATTGACACATCTGTATGTAATTTTACTTTTCCATCAAAATAAATGTTTTGCAACAATTTACTGTAATAAATTTTAATTTCCATACAGAACACAGTTTATATTTTTATTCCCTAATTTATTATTTCTCTTACAGCAAATTTCTGTTCAATGAATTGCTGTGTATTGGGGTTTACGATGATTATATTTATAGACTTAATAACAATGTATGTGTTAGAGAATGAAGAAAGGAGTTACAGTGAAATACAGTACTGTACTGTAGTAAGCATACTGTACTGTAGTAGTAAAAAAATATTCTAGCTTACAGTATTTTCATTATTATAAAAGCTATTTTTATCACATCTTAATGGGTTTCACTCATAAATGAAAGGCCGTGAAATATTTGTTTTCTTCGTTACTGCGAATTTTCATTTATTGAATCCTCACAAATCAGGGTCTGCCTTTACTGTACTGTACTAAGAACTGGGGGATCAGTACCTGTCTGGTTAAGCTGCTTCATAGCAGAGAATTTATTGTATACTACTGTACTTAGAGAAAATTATTAGAATAAAGAGATGGGAGTAATTATTTGCTTAATACCTGTATTACCACATAGTAATTACAGATATTAAATACTTTAGCCCTTTGAGTATGTCATCAAATTTCAAAGTCATTTCCCTTATGATGTCAGTTAGCCATCAAATATTTAAATCACAGTACAAATTTGTAATAATGTACCCCTCTTCCTGCTTCCCCAACATAGAAAGACCATAAATTTTCCATAACTATCACTTAAATTCTATATAAACGGTATTTGATAGCAAAAAAAAAAGCTTGAAATTCAGGACAATTTTAAGAAAATAAATCATCAATAATCATATTGAAAGTAGTTCAGCTTGGTCAAATACATGATAGAAGTACTCAGTAAATGTTTTTATTGCATCTTAATCAAAATATACAATAAGCATTCCCAATTAAGAAAATCAGTATAAACTCTGGCTGAGCAATATGCTATTTTCTCATACTGTATTTGTAACAAAAAAACAGTAATCCAATAAGAAATTTACTGTAAAAATATAATAAATAAAAAATATATAAATTGGTAATAAAGCAAGGTTGAAAGGTATACTGGTGCTGTACTGTATATTATTATGTACAGGAATTTCTTCAAGGTTTCTCCATTGAAAATGCAGGAAATAGCACAATATATTTTGAGTGTAAGAGAATAACAATGTTTAAAAGACTCACCAGTGTGTGAAACTTAAATTATAAATTACACTATTTGCACAGCCCTTCTACCTGTGAAGACTGATGTTCCCCAAGGACTCACAAAGTTGTGTCCAGGATCACGGCGAGCTTTTTTCTGCAGAATGAGGTGTAAATCTGTCCCAGTTTTGAAAGAAGAGGCAGATTCTTCCACTGGCTGCCAGAAGAAGAAATCAAAATCACAAAGCTCTGGTTGGTTGTCTGAATATCGTGTTCCTGTTCTTTTATTTTTTATTTATTGAGTAATTGATTTTTGTATTTTTTCAAAGATATCATACTGAATCTTGGTAACATGTATATAAAACTGAAATGCCTGTGTATAAGATAAAACACAGAAAAATTAGGGAACTGTAGTTTCAAACCATAACCTATGGTCTTCTTCAGGAAACAGTACATTAGTTAAAATACAGTATATACAGTAGTGCTCTTCATTTTTTTTGTTTTATCTTTTCCTGCAGTGGGATTTCAGTATTATGAGTTATGTAGTGTTACATAATTTCTTCAGTTATTTACATAAAAGTTGCAAAAAAAGAGTTTTAAATGTGATAGGATGTATAACGTTGGGGATGACAAACTTTACAATAGAATGATAACATATGTATACAAAATATTTGTTTGAATTTTGAAAGGATGTCAGTAAAATGTTGAATTAAGAATAAGATGTAATTTTGTTTATAATTAATGTAGATTTTGTAAACCTCATTACCCACTATGTGAGCCTAACAGTGAATGAAAGGTAAACATGACAAATTTTATATGCCCATGGCAGATAAGAAGTACAGTGTGATCCACTTCACTGGTTACCTGAAGTCTTGGGCTCCCACCAAGGATCCTCTGGAGGAAGACTCTGGAAGTGACTCGGACTCCTGTAACTTGTCTTGCTTGGTGAGATTTAATCTTTGTAATAGTTCTACTGCCATGAGTATTGTTATTATTTTCCCAATTCAGTGGGGATGGTATTGTATGGGGAATCTTTTTATGTATTTCTAGGAAGACCTTCCTCACCTGAATGTAAATACATCTCTGACAGCTATACCTTTCCCTTATCTAACCCTTCTATTCATATTCAGGGATTATGTTTTTGTCAAATTATAACATCTGTACTATATTTATAAAAATTTGATAAAAGATATTTGGTTAAGTTTAAAATGAGACATGTGAAGAAAATGTCTGATGTTGTGATACACAGGGGGTCCCCGGTTATGAATGGGTTCCTGAGGATGTTCTTAAGTCGGATTTGTACATAAGTCGTGCATACCGTACTTACAGAACAATCTTGATAAAATCACACGGGAAAATGGAAACAACGGAGTACCTTAGCTTTCGTCTTTTACAGAACAATGTTTAAAATCCCACTATATCACAGTCAAAGTCCTTATATACATCTAAAATCACTTAATTTAAGACAAAAGTAGAAATAGAGTGACAAAATACAGTAAATGAAAGTAAAAAATAAGTCATCAAGTATATAAAATACTGTAAATTTCAAGTTTAACCCCGTTCGTATCGGCGGGTGTTCGTAAGTCGGGAACCCTCTGTACTGTACAATACCTCAGGTCAAGTTCTCAGATAAGGGTTACAAATGTTCACTGACCATTTGGGTTCCTGCTGTAGCTAATTATTTTTCTTTATACTTTATTTTGTAGAATAGGATTGTAATTTTTTTGAAGTGTGAAACGTTTTATGTATTAGAAATCTGTCTTAAACAATAAGGAAATATTTAAGTTCCATTAAATTTTTTCAGATTTATATTTGTGTATGGTATAAAGTATACTGTATATATGTGTTTTTTAGGTTGCAGTAGGTCGAGTTCATCAACCACTGTTGGCTTCAAGTGTACGGGAGACCTCAAGACTGGGGAGGGCTGCACCAACTCAACCTATTGAATTTATCTCCAAGCATACAAATGATGGCAAGTTTGTCTTTATAGATCAGAGGTAAGTTGAACATAACTTAAGCTTGCATGTGATGACAGAATTTATTGTAATAAAATCAGTAGACTCCTAATTTTATGTAAGCCCATGCCCACATTAAATTGATTAGTATAAGTTGTGAAAAAATCAGATCATATTCCTGGCTGGCCAATTCAGGGAAACCCGATTCTGGACCCTTATTCAGTAATGATAATAATTCAAGACAGTGTATGTACAGTGCAGTTATTTTGTTTGTTTCCAACTAAAACTTTAAAAGTATAAAAGCATTTTCACAGAGCAGAGAGAGATAGAGCAGGGAGACAGAGAACAGGGAGATATACAGTATATAGCGGAGAGAATGTTGAAGTGGTTGTGCAGTGGGACACTGAAAGACAGGAGGCCCTGTTCAGAGTTAAGTGGGTGGCAGGGTACAGGGAGTGGCAAAGTTTTGGGTAGAGGTAGGCTGAGATGGTTCAGGTATGTGGAGAGAATAAAGGAGACTAGTTGAGTCAAGCGATGCATGAGTAAATATGGAGGGGAGAAGAGCCAAGGGAAAGCCAAATGACTGCAATAAATATTATACCTGTAAATAATACTAAGCTATAGAAAGTACAGTAGACCTCTGTACACTGGAATTTGCTTTTTTCATACTCTGAGGTGCACTGGGACTGCCCATTTATAAACCAGAAATATTTTAAAAAGTTCAGAAAATCCAGAATCCATTCGGACGGTTTGTGTGTTCGTAATGGCTGTGTGTGGGTGTCGTGTGGCATGTGTCTCGGTCTGAGTCTTGCCTTCATATGTGTCATCAGTGTGCCGTACTTCACTACCTACACTCATTTACGTGTACTTTTTATGTAGAGTACATATTGTCTTTAATGGGAATACTTGAGGGTTTTAAGTACAGTATTGGGCAAAATTATGTAGAGTATGTATTTTAAGAAATGGATTAAAAAAAAATCCTCATGAAAAGAACAGTGCTTGCTCACTGATTACTGTACAGTGGACTAATCAGATTTGCTGTAGGCCTAACAAAAGCTACAAAGTAAGAAAACTAGGACATACATTAGACCCTCACCAACCACAGATTCCATATATCCACGGTTTTCACTCTGTACAGTGGTACCCCACTTAACGCGGTCAATTGAACCCAGAGGGTCCCGCGTTAAGTGAAAACCGCGTTAAGTGAATAACAGAACATATGGGATTAATTCCAATAGAACCCAGCCCGACCCCCAAACTCCACTTTTTGGCGACAAATAACTATGTTGTAGTAAAAATAACATCTTAATTTTATGATGGTACATGCACACAATTAATACTTAAGAGAAATACAGTCGCCAAGTTAATGTCCATTCAAATAATGGACTCAACTCCCTCCCCCTCTCACACTACAGTACACAGCCAGCTAACAGATGGTCAGTCAGTCCCTCCCTCCCCCCCTCCACACCCACCAACCGTCCCAAGGAGATGTGTGGGATAACCTCAAACTAAAGTTAGGAAAATATAATTGACATTGCTGGATTCCTTGTAAGACCAGGAATATTTTGAATATAAATGTCATATATTTTTCACAAAAGATAACATACTTACTCAGATTAAACATTTTATCTAAAAATTGTATGTTTAATGCAAAAAATATGTTGTTTATATTCAAAATGATCACCAAATTATAAGAATTCCAGCAATGTAAATTATATTCTGGCCGGATAATTTGTATGAATTTTATGAGCTAAAACAAATATCTACAGTTAATAAAAAAAAAAATATATTCTTCAACACTATCTGTCAATCAAAGTACCCCACCTTGCCTCCCCCCCTCTTCCAACCGCGCGGTCAGTCCCAACCCTCCCCCCACCCCCCACCAATCCTCCATTCAAGAGTTTTTAACATTTAGTATTAAATAATACCTCAGATTAAAGTTAGGATAATATAATTGACATTGCTGGATTCCTTGTAAGACCAGGAATATTTTGAATATAAATGTCATATATTTTGGACAAAAGATAACATACTTACTCAGATTAAACATTTTATCTAAAAATTGTATGTTTAATGCAAAAAATATGTTGTTTATATTCAAAATGATCACCAAATTATAAGAATTCCAGCAATGTAAATTATATTCTGACCGGGTAATTTGTATGAATTTTATGAGCTAAAACAAATATCTTCAGTTAAAAAAAAATAATTCTTCACCGGGTAACAGATGGTCGGTCGGTTGGTCCCTCCCTCCCCCCCACCCCCCACCAACCGTCCCAAGGAGATGTGTGGGATAACCACTAAATTTTAATAAATAATACCTCAAACTAAAGTTAGGATAATATAATTGACATTGCTGGATTCCTTGTAAGACCAGGAATATTTTGAATATAAATGTCATATATTTTGGACAAAAGATAACATACTTACTCAGATTAAACATTTTATCTAAAAATTGTATGTTTAATGCAAAAAATATGTTGTTTATATTCAAAATGATCACCAAATTATAAGAATTCCAGCAATGTAAACTATATTCTGGGTGGGTAATTTGTATGAATTTTATGAGCTAAAACAGGCAGTCAGGCAGGGTGGCGGGTGGGGGGTGGTGCGAATCTAAAAATAGCTCTCGAGCCGGACACTCACCGCGTTGCTGTGGAAAAATCCGCGTTAAGTGAAAGTTCAGCTTTGGCAAGGCACCGCGTATATGCGAAAACGCGTTAAGTGAAAGCGCGTTAAGCGGGGTAATACTGTATACCATTTCACCAACCACGGTATTTAGTTTTACATATCCGCGGATTAGTGTGGCATCTATACTTGTCAGTGGTCTAATGTATTCCTCTGTAACTGTGAGGAATAAATCAAAATTATACTAATAAATAAAAGAAAAGAAAAAAATACTGCATGGCCATTTGGCAATCATTTCATGAAGGACTCGGGGTACAGGAGCACACTTCCCTCCTCCCTCTCCTACACTCGTGGGCTAACACCCGCTGAAGTAAGAAATGTTTATTCTCTTTTAAATGTTTGATCTTATGACAATCATTTCTCTTATTTTAATTTTTTTCACATTCTGCATGGAAGCTTGTGTATGCAAGTAACAGAGTTAAGAAAACAAAACAAAATTATGTTCCGTATATCTACTTGAAAATACAATTTGACAAAAAAACAAACAAACAATTACACAGCTCAAGGTTTGGCCTGGTACGAGGAGGCTGAGATCCCTAACACTGCACCCCCACCCTCAATCCTCCATCCTCCATTTCCCCTCCCACGATCGGAGAACTAACTCCTGCGGATATAAGAAATTTTTATTTTCCAGACTGGGGTCTGCCCAATTACCGTAGTCGGGTGTATTGAGGTATTACTGTAATGTAATGTGTTATTTACTTGCTTTTGATGGTGATAATGATGATTTGAGATATGCTGTGCAATATTGATAATTGCACTAAATTTACATTTTGTGAAAACATGCATAAATGTAATTAGACTTAAAATAATCATCACATCAATCTCAGAAAAACTGTTGTGAATGCAAGAAATTCAAATTTAGTCTAAAAACAGCATTACGTCATTACGTGTATGTAACATAAGCTGAGCAGAAAAGTGGCTAAATCTAGCCATAAACTTGACTCTCCTTGGGTGATGGAGCCATGTATATAATTCACTTATGTTTATTTTTGGATTATTATAATTGTGTACACCAAAAATTTTCACTAAAAATATGTTTTGTAGCATTTTATTTTTTTTTATGTAACTTGGCTAATAGACTTGATGGAAAAATATGCCCTGATTTACAAAAATCAAATTTAAATTTTTTTTTTTTAGGAATGGAACTCTTTTGTAAATTGGAAATGCCTATACAGTACTGTACATATTAACTTGTGAACATATGAAACTTGCCAAATTAGAAATCGTGATTGGCAAGGAGCAACTGTATGGGGTTCCACTGTACTACACTGTATGTATACAGTACTTAATAAGTTATCTGAATACAGTAATGATATGCTAACCTTTCTCTCATCAGGGCATCATTGCTGTTGGGTTGGCTTCCTCAGGAGCTTCTTGGGTCAAGCATGTACGAATATTTTCACCAGGACGACATTCCTTTCCTTGCTGAGACTCACAGGGCCACTCTACAAAACTCTGAAAGTTGTAACACTCAGGTGAGACAATTGAATTAATATGGTACAGTACTAGTAGTTATGGAGATATATAACTCTTCTTGTTTTTTATAATGAGGTTGTGTAGTGAACATACCAGATCTTTGAATTTCTGGTCCCTATTCTTTGTACTTCACGCAAGGTATTCTAAGTTTGAGCAGTAGACTTATGTTAAGTTTTTGGTAGCATTGGCTTTTAAAACAATGTTATCAATCTTTATGTTACCTTATCTATATCACAGAGAAAGGGGTCACCAATCAAGCATTCACTTAAAAAAAATGACATGGATATTGATACTCCGTTACAATTTTTAAATGTACAGTCTCGTTCAAGATTCTTCGAACACTGCTGGAGACAGGCCATTTGTTTACTATACCGTAGTACGTAGTGAAAATTATGAATAAATGTAAAAGTGATCGGTGATTGGTTACTTAGTTCCCCGTTGCTTAATTTAATGGTTGGGCTTTGTTGTTTTGTTTTATATTATACTGTACTACATACTATAGTAAACAAACGGCTTTGAATTGCCAGCTGTCTCCAGCAGCGTACAAAGGATCTTGAATGAGACTGTACACCAGTATTAAAAGAACATTATTAAATAAGCAAAAATAATTTCAGATAAAATGTAAAAGTATAATAATCACATAATTTTATGAGGTAGAGCACTTCATCTATCTCTTTTGATCACTTATTTTAATATAAAATATGATTAATAATTAAAAAAAAAATTTTAAGTCCAGCAATAACTTCTCACTTGACATACAACGCAGAAACTTTTCCAACTTTTAATTTACCACTAGCACTAGTAAACTTCTCTCACTGCAGAAATGTTCACTACTTATCTTCACTTTAGTATGTCCAGTTTATAGTTGCTCCCATCCAGTGATTATCTTCCAACTGTATACGGGGTATTCCAAAAAACATTGTATGGACCAGATAGGTTTTGAAATACAGTAGTGACTTACATTAATTTGGTAAAACACAGCAAACATTTAAACCCCTGAAATTAACATTAGTCTCAATAAACTAGTCTAAGTAAAATAAATCACAAAATAATTTACATTAATTATCAATAAAACATAAACAAATGGGTTTCACTGAATAAAAATATACAGTATATTGACACTTAATCTTAATTGAAGAAATAAGTGACAAATTCTTGGAGCTGCTTTATTTTGGTCCAGACAAATGCAAGAGTCAGATGCGGCTGGAGGAAATTTGGGAAGCTGCTGTCTTTATTGACAGCAAGAGGACCTTGTCTTTTTGTGAAAGGAAAGATTGTTCAACCAGCATGATATGCTAGGCTTGAGCGAGCTGAAATGAGGATGGTGAGATGGATGTGTAATGTGACACTAAAAGATAGGGTTAAGAGGGTGGCTGGGGATTGAGATATTGGCAGAGTTTTGTAGTGGTAGGATTAGATGGTTTGGGCATATGCAGAGAATGAGAGAATGATGGAGACCAGCTAGGTCAAAAGATGAACAAGTCTGAATGTGGAGGGAAGGAGAGCCAGGGGAAAGACAGGAAAAAATTGCATCAAAGACAAGAACCTGAAGAGAGGCTGCAGGTGAATTCATCACAGGGAGAGTTTGTCAGTACGTAATCATGACTAACCCACGCAACTGTGGAAAATAACTTTAAACTTTGATGATGATAAGGCAGCTTATGAAATGTAGTTGAAAGTAAAGAAATTGGATATTTTTAAATTGAATTTGGAGTGAAATTTTAGAGTTGGAAAAATCATTCTTAAATATTCAAAAGAATTCTAAGAGGCAGGCATAATTCCTAAATTTTGATAAATACCTGTACATTATAGTAAAAGAGAGAAATGTGAGTCATCTGGTATGGGCTAGTTTATTAGCACGAGGTGAGGGACCCACAGTCTTTGGTGTTAGTGGAATGTACTGTCAACAAAAAAAAATTTCTGCACCTTTATGGAATTAGGCAAGAAATATGACCCTGTTGATAAAGTATTTTATAAAGTGATTGATGGAGCTCTTAGGTAATGAAGATGAAAGATTGGATTTTATTGAAGTCGTTTGAGATAAAAGAAAAGTTGAAGGTTACATAGAAGAACAGGATGAAGGAGTATTAGAGTTAGAGGTCTCTTTTGGTGTGGGACACTTAAGAAATGCTCAAGGTTCAGGGTGTGTATGTGGGATATTTTTTGTGTAAGCTGCTCTACTGTAATAAAGGAAAATGCACTTTGGGTATAAATTTGACAATATCTTTTCCAGGTGTACAGGTTTCGAACAAAGGAGGGTTCCTTTGTGCGGCTGCAGAGCAATTGGTGGACATTCAAAAATCCTTGGACCAAAGAGATTGAATACATTATATCGAAGAACAGTGTTGTCACGTGAGTCCAAGAATACAGCATTGACCTACATTGTACTATAAGTAACTATGGCATAGATTCTGTAGCAACAAGTTATGTGCAATATAAGATTATTTATAAATAGCCATTTTCCAGTTAATCTGCATATTATAATACATTGATGTTGAAGATTAACATTTAAGTCAGTTAAGGAGGAGTGTATGAGGGAGGTAGTTGTGGAGGAGTGTGAGAGTGAGATGGTTGTGGAGGAGTGTGTGGGGGAGATGGTTGTGGAAGAATGTGTGGGAGAGATGGTTGTGGAGGAGTGTGTGGGTGAGATGGTTGTGGAGGAATGTGTGGGGGAGATGGTTGTGGAAGAATGTGTTGGAGAGATGGTTGTGGAGGAGTGTGTGGGTGAGATGGTTGTGGAGGAATGTGGGGGGAGATGGTTGTGGAAGAATGTGTGGGGGAAATGGTTGGAGAATGTGTGGGAATGGTTGTGGAGTAATGTGTGGGGGAGATGGTTGTGGAGGAATGTGTGGGGGGAGAGATGGTTGTGGAGGAGTGTGTGGGGGAGATGGTTGTGGAAGAATGTGTGGGGAAATGGTTGTGGAGGAATGTGTGGGAGAGATGGTTGTGGAAGAATGTGTGGGGGAGATGGTTGTGGAAGAATGTGTGGGAGAGATGGTTGGAGGGTGTGTGGGTGAGATGGTTTGTGAATGTGTGGGGAGATGGTTGTGGAGGAGTGTGTGGGGAGATGGTTGTGGAAGAATGTGTGGGGAGATGGTTGTGGAAGAATGTGTGGGGGGAGATGGTTGTGGAAGAATGTGGGAGAGATGGTTGTGGAGGAGTGTGGGGGAGATGGTTGTGGAGGGGTGTGGGGAGATGGTTGTGGAGGGTGTGTGGGGAGATGGTTTGTGGAAGAATGTGTGGGGAGATGGTTGTGGAGGGGGGTGTGTGGGGAGATGGTTGTGGAGGGTGTGTGGGAGAGATGGTTGTGGAAGAATGTGTGGGGAGATGGTTGTGGAAGAATGTGTGGGGAGAGATGGTTGTGGAAGTGTGTGGGTGAGATGGTTGTGGAATGTGTGGGGGAGATGGTTGGTGTGGGGGGATGGTTGTGGAAGAGATGTGTGGGGAGATGGTTGTGTGTGGGGAGATGGTTGTGGAGGAGTGTGTGGGGGAGATGGTTGTGGAAGAATGTGTGGGGGAGATGGTTGTGGTAGAATGTGTGGGAGAGATGGTTGTGGAGGAGTGTGTGGGGGAGATGGTTGTGGGGGAGTGTATGGGCTAGATCACTGTACTCCTTTCTCTTGTGCACCATATCCTTGACACTGACACAATTGTTGATAAATTCTTGGAACTTCTATTTTATTTATATAAGAAAGCATTAAGTTAACATATGGTTAACCGGTGTTTGACAGGATGTGTTAAAGGATTTTATCTGTTTGGTGTATAGTGAATAGATGAGTTTTAGATTGTTGCCAGTACAGAATTTTGTTATGGATAGAGTATATACTTAAGATGTGTTGGATATTGACTGAAGGAAGGATGGCCACCACAACATAGTCTGATGGATGCATTATCATTTCTCCTGGGAGGGTGGTTTTTGGGATGTGGTTTTGAGGTTTGTTTAATAATTTGTTTGGTTGGAGTCTGTGGATTGTGGAGGTTTCTAAGATATTATGTACATATGTGTTTGTTGGAAGTTGTGATGCAATGTGTAGGTGGTACAGTGTGTGGGATATAGTGTTGTAATGTTGGGCATTTTTTGTGTCATTAAGGCAGGGGGTGATTCAACATGAAATTTAAGAGGTATTATGTGAGACAGTGAATTATATGGTCCTGATATTTAGGTGAGCTTCTGTGGAGAGACTTTGATACAAACTGTAGGGGACTAATGTTTGTGGTTTTAGTGCAACTTAATATTGTTTGAAGGGTTTTTATTACCGGTAAGTCTTTTAGAATTTTTGGATGTTGGAGTCAGATGTTACTGGGACCCAGCTAGAGTTTGTAAAGTTTATTGTAGTGCAGATGAATTGTTGTTAGTGGTTCTTCTGTCTGTCCAAAAGGTTGTGTTTGTGAGGATTTTGGAAAAAATTTAGTTTGCTCGTGGTCTTGATGTTATTGTGTTGTATGATGATGAGGTTATAATATATAACTGCATTTACAGTTCTTGTCTTTAAGTACATATTTTAGGGTAGTACAGTACATAACCAGTCATCAACACATAAAAATTAATAGAGATGGATCTCTCTGGTCATGTTTTGTGTGAAGGTAATGTGTGTTCAGTGTGATGCCAAGGATTTTGGAATGTTTATGTATTAGAAGTTGTTGGTTAGGTAGCGTAATATATGGGTCTGTTTGGGGCAAGGAGTGTAATGCTGTGACTTGGATTTCTGGAAGATTTGAGGGGGTCATCTTATTGTATAGTGAGAAACATCATGTAAGATATTGTTGGACTACAGTATATCAAATATTTCTTTACTTTTTTCTTTCCAGATCGGAAGCTGGAATGGTGGAAAGCACTATGGCCAATGAATCAGTCTCCCAGTCATATAACAACTTCAATGAATTTTTGAATTCACCCGGTAATTATAGTCTAACTTGTATTTATGCTTGAGACAGCTCGTAAACACCAGTCTCAAATGGCAGTTCTAAATGGAATACGGCTTAGAGAGAGGTTTCTGCTTCACAGCAAACATGCTGCAGTGAGTTTCAGACCTCACTTACGTAAAACGACTTACATTTACATAATTCTACATTAATTTTACTATTTATTGTACTCAAATATGTAGTTAATATTCACTGAAGCACTTCTAAGGAGTCGACATATGACATATGCTGTCGGGTGTGGCACAAATTTATATGGTACAGTTTTACCACCGATGCGCTGTCACAATGCCACCACCACATCATGTTGTGCTCATACCCTAAAATAATGAGAAATTACATATATTTACACTATTTACAAAACTCTTTCCTGTGCTTTAGTACTTTTGAAGGGTGTGGTATTGATTGAAGCATGGAATCAGGCACAGAGCAATGTCACACTGAGTACACTGATAGCGAGTGTCTTTGCATACTTATGCACAAATTTCATTCGTATGGCACACATGAATTTTTTTATGGGAATACTGCTTTGCCCCAGTGGAAGGAATCACTGAAGGGAAGTGTTGAGCAGTCAGTCGCAAAGGGAGTTCATAACCAGCTGCGCTATGACCTCCAGGTTTCTGACGAGGTACTGCATTGGTCTCCAAAAGCTGTCTTACCACATTCAATGAAAATTCGTGTGGTTTAGGTTTTTTTTCCTGTCTTCACTAAATAAAGAATGTGCAAGTTCAGAGGGGACATGTTCCAAAAGATGAAAGAATAATTTTTGTACCATTTCATGGTCTTGCGTGCACAATCTATACTGGAGATCATGCTGTTAGACTTGTCAACCAGATGCATATTGGAGGTGTAGTCTGGGATACAATGTGGCTTGTAGAGCCTCATCTTGGTCTTGGAGTCGACGTTGTGGGTGGTGGAGTGATGCTTTTGGTGGAGTCGGCCTTATGGTGTCAGGGCCATCAACATCACTCTCACTCACTATCCTTGTCATCATGTGGGTAAGCAGGGTCATTGACATCATCAGAATCACTCTCATCACTGTCCGTTCCTAATTGCTCCTCAGCATCACAAGGAGCATCCTCATCAAAGAGAATAGAGTTTATTTCGGCGTCACTGATAGCACGGCGTGACGACATCCTTTCAGAGTGGAACTGGTGAAGGTACTCGCGTGTTGCCAAGAAACACAAGGCCTAGTCACGTGAGTGCTTGTGGGAGTGTATGCCAGACAACTTGTCCTGAATTGGTTAATATCAGGAACAAGTGGCAATGTTGAAGTTTATATTACATCAAACTAATTACAAAGTATAAAGTTAGGATATCCTACAATATAAATTGATACTCAAGGTTTGCTGATACAGATGGAGGTCAGGAATTAATGGTTGAGTATAGTTGGTGACCCCCTCCATGATCGCCGGTTTTCACTGAAGATGGTGAGTGTTGTGTTTACCTGGTCAGGATCGTTAAGGTACTGACAATGGCAGGTAATTTGACATTCAACGGTAGGATGTGCGCACAGACAAAGGAAAGTAGACTCGAACAAGACTATTACAGTCAACCCTCACTTTACGCGGTTAACACAACCCACAGGGTACCGCGGAAAGTGAGAAACGCGTAAAGTGAACAACATAACATATGGGATTAATTGAAATAGAGACCGGGCCGACCCCCAAACTCCACTTTTTGACGACACACAACTATGTTGTAGTAAATATTTTATCTTAACTTTATGATGGTATGCACACACAATTAATATAGAAGAGGTTAGGTTAGGAAAAATAAAGGTTAGGTTAGGAAAACTAAAAGTTAGGTTTAACACTTACGTTAGTAGAAGAGATGGGTCGGCATACGGGGATGGAGGCTGGTTCCAAGGCAGAGGGCAGGCTACTGGTCCTCAGGTGAGTCACCATCACTGTCATCCACACTTGTCAGGGCCTCCCTGACAAATCCCTCAAAGTCATCATCACTGTCTCTACCTCTGTCACTATCACTGGCTTGGGCTGGCTGTGGTGGGTTGCGGGCGAAGAATTCCGTTATGCTTTGCTGACGGCTGGTGTTTATGTTGTCGTGATAAACCTTGAAGTAGGGCTCCATAGTCTGCAACAGCTGGGTAGTGAAGATTTCATACCTGTTTGCGTCAGGGTCCTCGGAAGGGAGGAGCTTGACTTTCTTGATACACTCGATGGCACCCCTAACATTACTATGGGATAAGTGGTGTTCTTCTTGGGATGACGCACCACCTGCCTCCTCACTGACGTCATCATCATGTACCATCTCGTCGGTAGTCACATCAGGATCCCTTATCACCTCCAGGATGTCGTCGTTGGTGGTCTCGGAGAAGCCTGCAGCTGTAACACTCTGTGCAGCTTCTCTGGCAAGGTCCACTGCAACAGTCTGAACCTCACCAGTCACAGATTGACTCTGCCTAACGGCCGGAATGCCTTGCAACACATGTCTCCATGCGTGACGAAGAGTTGCTACAGACAGCTGATCCCATGCCTCCACCAAGAAGTCCACAGCTTTCTTGATGTTGAATATTCTCCAGAATTGTTTTAAAAGTACTTGTTGCTCTGCCAACTGTTGATCCTCGTCGTCTTCGCTCTTGCTATCGGTGGTGGTGTCACTCAGGTTACGCAACTCTTCCCTGGTGTTGGTGTAGTCATTCAGGAGCTTGAATTTTTTTGTAGAGAATGCAGCTTTTACATTACAGATTAACTCTTGGTCCATGGGCTGTAATATAGACGTAGTGTTGGGAGGAAGAAAGACCACTCTTACGTTGGGGTGATGATCTAACAGTAGGGGCGAGTGTCTTGGTGCGTTGTCCAGCAGCAACAAAATCTTGAATGGCACATTCTGTTGCTCACAGAATTTCTTCACATTGGGAACGAAACAGTCATCAAACCAGGAGAGGGACAGTGTAGAGAACATCCACGCCTTACGTGCGGTCAGCCAGTGGACATTTAGCTTGGTCATGTCCATGCTCTTGTAGACGTGTGGCTTGCGTGCTGTGTGGATCACCGATAACTTGAGCTTATAGGTACCGAGGCATTGGTGGTAAACAGGACGGTGATGCGCTCCTTCTGCAACTTCCGGCCCCGAATCTTGCTGGCATTCTTCACAACGAAGGTCTTGGAAGGCAGCTTTTTCCAAAAAAGACCAGATTCGTCCATGTTAAACACCTGGTCGTCGGTGTACTATCCTTCTTCCATAATCTCACGTAAAAACAGAGGAAATTCCCTAGCCGCAACACGGTCAGCACTAGCTTCTTCACCACCAATGTTGATATTGGTGATCTTGTTCCGGATCTTAAACCTCTGTAACCACCCAGAGGAAGCATTAAAGGGTTTGGGCTCTGTAGTTCCCATCTTTCGTGCCACTGCCATGTACAGTTCTCGTGCGTACTCCTTAACAGAGCGTGTGTCCACCGCCATGTTCCGTCGCGCCTGACGCACCAAGTAGCTCACAAGTAATTTTTCCGTCGAGAAGCACCTAGTTGTGAAAATACTTGATCATAGAAGCACCTGTAGACTTTGTGATCTTCATGTGCTCCTTTATCTTGGCTGCATCCTTCTTTATCGTCCGGATCGTAGATTCGTTCACACCATGCTGGCGCGCCAAATCAACCTGTCTTGTTCCTTTCTCCAACTCTTGGATGATCTTGTACTTCACCTCGTAGCTTAAGGAACGTCGTGTCTTCTTTGGCTTAGGGCGGCTGGGTCCAGGCAAGGAAAGGTTTCTCTCTGGGGGCAGTGGTCCGGCGGAAGCCATTTTACAGAACAATGGATGCACGATTACACGGTGTGGCCTGGAGGGATGAAACTGCCGCGGCTAGGTCAAGCGTCGTTTTTCCTCCCTCCCTCCCTCCCTCCCTCCCTCCCTCCCCCGGGTGGACACGTCATATTACTTTAAACCAATTACAGCTAGCAGCGGAGGGAGGTAGGGATGCATGGCCAATCACAGTCCGATACGTCATATGACGTCACTGATAACACAACAGAGACATGCACTGCGCAACCTTACCGCGCGGCTTGCCCAGCCGGAGGCGGGAGCAGGCGGGAGGGGCGAATCTAAAAATAGCGTCGAGCCGGACACTCTCCGCGTAAAGGGGTACACGCACCGCGGAATGTGAGCATCTCGGTTTCGGCAGGGTACGGCGTAAACGTGGAAACGCGGAATGTGGGACCGCGTAAAGCAAGGGTTGACTGTATTTAAATCAGGAGGAATTATTTACAATTCAGGTAACTATTAAATACTGTATTACTTTTACTAAATTTATCCTAAATTAAATGCAACATAAATATAACTCCCTTACCAAATTTCTTACATTATTTCTATCATTCTGCTATTCAACATAGTAGATTAGTAGTTACGATACAACTCAAGATGGTTATTTATAGCTCTAGGGCCAAAAAATTTTCATGGAGGTTGATATACTCCCTAAACCTGGGTGTCCCTTACCTAAGCGGAGATAAGGGTTAAATCAGCTGCCATGTTGATACAACTACCCTGCATTTCCCCATGTCACAAATTAAGTGAGACCTTATTGTATTGGCACCATCTTCTGTGTATGTGAAAGTGTGTAAAGAATGCTACAGAAATTAAAAAATTTTTACACATTAAAAAATAAATAAAAAAGTTAATATATAGAAAAAAATTTCATTCTTATATTCAAGATGCAAGTCATAATCAAGATAATTCACCACTTGGTTGTGCTGGGTCTTCAAATAGCAACAGTCGCCTGATGGGTGGTGGCATTCAAGCAAGGAAGATTGGTCGACAGATTGCAGATGAAGTTTTAGATAATCAACGGAGGAATGATTCGACCTCGAATAGTCCAGTGTCTCCATTTGAGGGCATATTAGGATCGGGGGCATCTGACCGATCCTTTGCGGCACTTCTTAGATCTGATATGACGGCTCATCGGGTGAGTAAAAATACTTTACTTAGTGATAACCAATGTAAACAACACTGTTTTCTTTTTACAGTACTACTCTCAGTACCATCACTTTTGCATTTGTTTTGAGACTTTATAAGTGCAGCACATCTGGTTAGAAAGAGAGCTGTGGACAGTATTATTATTGTTATTATTATTATTATTATTATTATTATTATTATTATTATTATTATTATTATTATTATTATTATTACTATTATTATTATTATTATTATTACTATTACTACTACATTTTTGCCCCCCAGGCCCCGATGTGGGTCAGTGACCTGTGCCCCGTTGGGTTAATCCCCTTATAAAAAAAATATCCTTCCTGCAAATTTCACAGTGAGAAGAACTGTTGAAGGTTATAGAAGTTATTCAGTGATAGGGATGTTCTGTATCATCAGAAGGTGGCTCCATTGATCTTTAGCGTGTCCTCTGAAAATCACTTCACCAGGGTCACTAAGGATAACAAGTGGTCAGGGGGCACCTAGAATTAAACAAAAGTTCTATTGATGGTTGTTACAGCACCCTATATTTCTGTCAATTGATAGGGCTTAGACTAGGAAGAAATTTAAAAAGGACTCTGTCTTTACTCCTTTTTCTTTGATGAGGAGGGGAGATGGCAGAGTTGGATTTGTTCATACATGGTCTGTCAGTGGATCCTGATATTGAACCTGAAGTAGCTGGTGGTATCCAAAACTCATGTTCTTAGTGCCTTTCTATGAGTAGATGCCTTTCCAACTTCTCAAACCTTTGTGTATAGAACTCTGGATTTAATTTTTAATGTGCAGCTGCGGATATCTCGTCAACCAACCCAAACACAAAACAACTTCTTTTTCATTTCAAATCTTATAAGAATATAAAATGATGTTATAAAATAATAGTTTCTGTGCACGCAAAAAAAGTAGAATTTGACAACAACACAATACTGTACTGTATTTACCTTTTTGTCTGTCTGCATTTTTTATTTTTTCTCCAAGAACCATTTGTAGATTATCCCCCTTAGTTAAACAGAGAGTGAAGTGTAGAGGGGTGTGTGTAGCAATATCTGACACAGTGAGGTGACTGATTGCATGCCAGGCACATTACAACTTACTTATTATTTTACTTATTCACTTATATACTACAGTATAGTCTGCATTTACGCGGCCAATTGAACAGCGTAAAACGAGAAACGCGTAAACAAAATAACAGAACATATGGGATTAATTGAAATAGAGACTGGGCCGACCCCCAAACTACACTTTTTCTGACACAATATGTACGTTGCAGTAAAAATAACATCTTAATTTTAAGATGGTATGCACACACAATAAATATTTAAGAGAAATATCAATAATATTAGGGTTTTTTAACACTTTCGTTAGTAGAAAAGATGGCTGGGCACACGAGGATGGGGGGTTGGTTCCGAGGCAGAGGGCAGATTATTGGCCCTCACCTGTATCACTTGTATCAATTGTATCACTATCCACCACAGAGGCTTGCAGGGCCTCTTTGTCAAACCCCTCAAAGTCCATATCCTCACTGTCACTGACTTGGGCCAGCTGTGGTGGGTGGCGGGTGAAGAACTCGGTAATGTTTTGATGACTGGGCGACCTTGTGCGCACCCTGCCCGCGCCGTTTCTCGCGTAAATGATGAAATTTACCGCGTAATTAAAACATTTCAGTCTGGCAAGGCACCGCGTAAATGACCAAACGCATAAACAAAATCCGCGTAAATTCAGACTATACTGTACTGTACTTACTTAATATTTACAATTAGGTTCTTAAATTCGCTGGCACAATGAAGTCTTGTTAATTCTCGGGTTAGGTACAATAAAACATCATGAATTATCAAATTGCGAATTATGTTTTAATTGATTTCAATGGAAATTATTAGTTTGGTTTCAGAGGCCAAGAAATACACATAAACTGTTCCAAAACTGCTTTAATAAGCACTAAGCAGTCCAGCTACCTTACTTATTTATTACTTACAGTATTTCTGTACTTAAGTTACTTACAGTTAGTATTATATGAGGCCTACTGAGGGGTTGTGGGTCAGTGTGCATTGCTGTAGGTAGAGTGTTGGTTTCTACCAAATTCACCTCAGATGTTCAAGGCCATGCAAACATTTGAAAACACTACTGCAAAAATGTGGTACATCCTACTTACGAACACCCGGTGATAAGAACGAGGTTCTATAAAGTTAAACTAAGTGATTTTAGATGTATAAAAAGACTTAGGCTATGATATAGTTGGATTTTAAACATTGTTCTGTAAGTACGGTATGCACATAGTCTATGTGATTCGATTTAAAGTACATTTACGACTTAAGAACGTCTGTAGGAACAGAATTCGTACATAACCCAGTGTCTGCCTGTATTGTATTACTATATGTTGGTCACAAACACCTACATAAATAGCATATCAGGAACTGTAATGTACAGAGGTAAATCAATGTAAACAATAGTAATCACCTCTGAGTGTCGTGTATTGGACCCGGACCACCATTAGTGGTAGGCAAAAAGCTTGTCCACTGGACTATGATGGGCTAAAAGCTACCCCACCTTAACTTCTCTCTTGTAACTCTGGTTCCCTGCCCACTAAATGTGAGCCAAAGGGTTGGGGCAGCCCGCCCACACTTGGGTCCCAGACAGCTTTTTTAATCAAGGCCCCAGCACGGTGGTGTTGTAAATATATCAGAAACTGTAATGTACAACACAGTTGTGCTGGGAACTCAATAAAAAAAAAGCTGTGTGGGACCCAAGTGTGGGTGGGCCACCCCAACCCTTAGTCCAGCCCACCACCCAGAGAGCAATAACCTGGCTAAATATTCCATTGCACTTAATGTAAATGTCTTAATACCTGGTGTTTGTATTGAAAATATCAGTAGCAATTTATGTAACATTAATATCTTAACCCTGGTGTAGTTGTCCAGTACATTTCTAACATGAACTGAACACCCTACTTACCAATATGTAGTGTGTGAATTTATATTTGAATATCTTCGAAAAAACAAGCAGGAAATGCAATTAAAAAATCCCTACATAATTTTACATTATTTCAAATGGAATGTACTCAAAAATGTCCACATTTTGGAAAATTCTGAATTTTGAGTACCAGAGTTCTAGACCATAAACCGCATATAGAATGGTTATAGAAGAATCAGACAATATTCAATAATCTTTTTACTTGTGCTGTGTACAATGAATGAGAGTTATTAATATTTATTTAATTAATAACAGACCAATGTGAAAAACAATGTGCTCTTAAGCAGCAATACCAGCACATGTTCAGGAAGTGACACCAGTCGCAGTACTGTGCCTAACAATAACCATCGTCGACTCTCAAGCATGCACAACAATCTGGCTAATAGTGGTGAACGTGGAGGGTCATACAACCACAACAATAATCACAGGCAGCCTGGTAAGAATACAGTATAAATTACAGTATGACTTTTATTGTTTTTCATTTAATGAAAAAAAGAATAACGTTAAAAAGTTGAGAGCAGAGAACAGGTTTGTTTTTTGAGAGACTAGAGGAGACAAATGGAAACAGAAGGGTATATATGAGGAGACTGTATAAACTCATTAACACACTATCTTGAGGTAAGCATGTTAATTTGTGGTCAAGTAATGTCTCATCACACTCATGAACAGTGTATTTGAGATTTTGTTCACCGTATTTGCTGGTTTAACAATTGCAGGTGGCATCAATATTCATGGGGATATGTTTCTGGAAAGTACCATGAATGTCAATACTGTACAGGGTACTTAAATCTTATGGTAAAAATAGGGTTAGAGAACACACCAGGGGCAAAGAAGGGGAAATTAAAAATAAATAAATTAAACCATGCCTCCCACACTACAAGGAAGATTAAAATAAAGTTTAAACATTACAACTCTCTCTCTCTGATTTTTGAAGATGTTTATAATAACAAAAATATATATACAATATTGTATATGGTTTTATATTTGCATACTGCAGGTAAATATATAGGTCTACTTGGGAATCACCATATCATGCTTGAGCTGTACAGTGTAATTCCAGGATTTATTGAAACTGCCACTGCAGATGTTGAAATATTTAAAAAAAACATTAATTGTGAATAAACAAACTTGTGGATGTCAGGTTCACAGATGTTGAGATCCACCTCTATACAGGTACAGGCTATTTATTCAGTCAGACAGTAATTATCTATGAACTCACTATTTCTGGCAAAATTTCATGACTCGCTAGAAGCTGCTGGCACATGTTTAGTCTTTTTCTTCTTCATTTAAATTATGTATGCAATGATGTTTTCTCATTTTGTTATTTAGTAAGTAAAACAAACAGTCAACTGAGCTTGTTTGAGAAAGCAAATCTTGACATAGTGTCCTGGTAGGCCGAGGGTAACATGGATGACCCAGGAAACAAGAAATTCCTCAAAACTGGTTTGGTCTTGGTCCCAAGGTCTTGGATTTAAGGGTGTATACCTGTACAGTATATAACTTAACATTTAAGAACAAAAATAAGTAAGTGGAGTCAGGGAAATGTGTAAAGGAATGTGCCTCAACACTGAGTCCAAATTGGCCCCATTTTTATGTTTAACATACATGGATAAGAAAGAATTGAAATTTTTGAGATTTTTATGTTAATTTAATTTTGTTTCAGTATCCAATGAGGGTGACTTAATGGATGTAGTGAGTGGCAGAGACTTGGAAACTGATGGGACAAGTGACTCAGACGAAGCAGCAATGGCTGTCATCATGAGTCTCCTAGAAGCTGATGCTGGACTTGGTGGCCCTGTTGATTTTTCCCACCTTCCTTGGCCACTTCCTTAAGGATAATAAAGTGGATCAGTACTGTATTCCTCATTTTGAATAGTGGAGTATAAATTCACATACTTGACTGTATTTATGATCACTTAATAGTCAGTACAGTACTAAAATAAGATAATCAAGAGGTAAATCTAGCCAAATGATGTTAACTTTCAAACATTCAAAAAGCTTTCAGGCATGAAATTTTCCCAAGCTATCATACACAGTGTAGGAGAAAATTTTGAGCCCCCCCCCCCCTTTTTTTTTACTTTTTTACTAGCACGTGAAATACTGAAGACTATTCAAGTGATTTAAGAGTCAGATGAATACAGGCACTTGCCACATTCCTGCACCTTAAAACCGACTCTGGAATTAAACACCATAAAAAAACAGTGAAGAACCACCCGGACATACGACCGCCTCAGTCGTACCAAAATTTTTTAAAATTACGTATTTTCGAGTCCCGACGTTAGTGATTACACTGTGTACTGACAAAATTTTTGTATGTAATTCCATCTGAAATGGCTGGCAAGCGTAAAAGTGAGAGTTCTCGTCATGCTGAGAAGAAAAAGAGACACCCATTTTAGAATTCCTATGTATTATTTTCGCCTTTTCGACTTACGACCAATTCGACTTACGGCATGGTCGTTTGGACGGAACCCCGTCGTAAGTCGAGGAGAGACTGTATATACATATATATATATGTCTGGTAATATGATAAGTTTTGTTGACCATTGTGATACTACAGTAGTACTGTACTGTATAATTAATATTTTGGTTTTTACTCAAACTATAATTAGTTGTATGATTGTTACAAGTAACAGTGCCCTAATACAGTATTGCTAAATAGAGAATAATCAATGGTCACAGCTATACTCTTGAAGCAGAGTGTCTACTTTTGTACAGTGATTTCGGATTTTTGTATTATATGCTCATGAATATATCAGGTTTAGAGCTACTTGAATAATACACAAATGTGTTTTGTCTCATAAATTCTTAAGAGAAACTTGAAATGAAACATGATAGAGGATGCATTCAATTTAATTTTTAACTTAGTCAAGTTATTTTACTTCTGATTTAAAGCAACACTTAACCCTCTGGTACTCTTGGCCATGGATGGAAATCTCAACCCCTTGCAGTCTTTCAATGCAAATACCGTCGTATACAATCTCATCTTTTCGCAGTCTTTTGACGCAGGTTGTGTTGGTAACAGGAATGATTTTTTCATTTTAGTAAACATTGGATAGAGCGATCCAGATCCAAATTACACCCTTAGTGATGCATCTGCCACCCACTCCACAAGGCTAATGGGAGGAACTTTGGTGGTTGATATGGGTGGTCCACTGTTCCTGCATTTCTGCTTACAGGAGATGTGCTCTCAGTGTGAGATACAGCTGAGCGGGAAGGGTTGCACCGGCACATGAGTACTTAGCAATGCAATTCGTGTCAAAAGACCACGAGAGGGTTAATGGATATTCTTTTGATATAGTCAACAGTGTTGCTTTTAAGTTATTGCTGTTGGATAGATTATAGTTTGGCTCAGTCAAGAATAGAAAATACAACTGCAAGAATTTATAGTCAGAAACTAAAGTTCTGATGAAATATAGAAATAAGATTGTATCCATCAATGATACAGATGACTGCATACTGTATCCAACCCTTACTACATCATGTTCCAAAAGATGCATTCATCCTGCATGTTGCATTAACCATTTGAAGAGGTTTATGATTTTATAACATCTTTGAGAAAAGATTCAACGGTGATAAACAGAGTTTATATTGTGGTAGCTTTTAAAGATATAACCTATACAGAGAATTCTATCTCTCATGATTTTTACTTGTTGATGGACTAGTATAATTACTAACCTTGTCATGCACTTAAAGACTTCTTTTTTTTAAACACAATGTACACGAAATAGTGTCTGGCCATAATAGTGTACAAAGAGTAGCCTATCTATATTATGCTTGGAATTTTAATGAATATCTTACAGCTTTACACATTTGAAGCTAAGAAGAGAATATATGGGGATCTTTTTTTATGAGGAACATGTTTACTGATACAGGTATAAGATTTTATTAATTTTGCATTTAGAGAATTCAACTTGGTAACTTTACTAATGTGTTTTATAGAGAAAAATCTTGCAAGTTGTCTGATCATTTTCCAGTGAAGAATTAGTAACTAAAAAAAGTTATGATTCTCGTATGAGATGATTTCCTGCTGACCTTAAATTATGTGATACATTATTATACACCTACAGTAAGTGAACTGTGTTAAATTGCTCAAGAAATATCATCCTTTTAAAGGAATTATAAGTTTAAGTTTTTATTTTAATATTAATAAGATACAGTATGCTGTACTACTGTTTCTACTGTCTTGTATCACACATATATATATTGAGATATTAGCAAATGATAACAATACTGGTATTTCTAGATGATGGGCTAGTGTACAGCACCTCCCCTTCCCCCAACTTTTCCAAAGGGAAGAATTTTTCATTGATAAAGTATTGATATGGTATTTATGGTTTCAGTATTCATAATATAAAATGCTATTAATTACTAAAAACTCTTAATTATATAAGTATTATAAGGAAGACAATAATAATATATTTAAAGATTTTATATACAGTACATGTACCTGGTACAGTACAGGGTACTAAGAAGTGGAGTCCTCCCATCGAAAGAAACAGTAAGTTTACTAGGGTCCTTCTCCATACAAGGAAGGGGTGCAGAAACACTGTAATTGACTCAAGATCATGGACTAGTTACCAGTAGTGACAAGACCACGGACTATCCAATACCAACTTCCCCATAAGATGACTGCCACACTGAATCATAATTGGCATAGTGTTGTTATTAATTGTACATCTTTTTAAAAGCTAAACTCTATAACCATAGTGAACACTCCTGAATGTTAACTTGGAGATTCAGTAATATAATACTATACTTTCTTTAGTAAGTCATGAAAGTAGTTCTGTACTTCTGGTGGATATGGTGACTATTTGGCAAATTAGATGTTATATTAGCACTCATTCAGTAGCTGTAATAAGAATGAAAATAATCACTAAACAGTATAAACATTTTTTTTATAATGTCCATAAAAATATTCATGTTAAAATGGCACTGGATCTATTAGTATTGGTCATCACTAGAATAGGTAAATGTTATCATAAACTTGAAGAATATATTTTTGTGATACACAGTTTCAGAATTACTTAAGGGGAATAAGGAAGTTTTCCTGATGCATAAATAACTGGTCAACTTGAACTGTAAAATCAAAACTGTATATGTTTGCTCTTTTTGCTCTGATTCTAACTACAGACAAGATACTTACGTTGTGCAAAGAATTAATAAAATACAAAAATTATTATTTCAACCAATTTAAACACAGATCCAGGAAACTGTTTCATGGTATAAAAAGTCTTTTTTTTTTTTTTTAGTGATTACTGTATTTGTTTTAGAGTAAAAAGAAGGTATTGTTCATCTTGCTAGCCTTTTATGTGAAATATGAGAACTGTTCTGTTGTGTGTACAGGTTGTACCTCTCTAGTCCGGCGTTCTGTGGTCCGGAAACTCCCGTGGTCCGGAACGATTTTAGTTTGTCCAATAGGTAGATAGGCATTTTTTTTTTTACTTATCTGAATTATTATTATTATTACTTGAGTACAGTTGGTCCTCATATTACGCGGTCCCGCATTCCGCGTTTCACCGTTAACGCGGTGCCTTGCCAGAACCTAACATTTTCACATTCCGCGGTCGTGAACCCCATTACGCGGAGAGCGGCTGGCAAGCCGCGCCATTTTTGGATCCAAACCTCCCGCCATCCGCCATGTTGTGTAAGAGGCGCGAAAATGGTGCGCACAAGGTCGCCCAGTCATCAAAACATGACCAGTTCTTCACCCGCCACCCACTACAGCCGGCCCAAGTCAGTGATAGTGATAATTATAGTGAGGATATGGACTTATATGAACTTTGGGGGGTTTGACAAAGAGGCCCTGCAAGCCTCTGTGGTGGATAGTGATACAATTGATACAAGTGATACAGGTGAGGGCCAATAATCTGCCCTCTGCCTCGGAACCAACCGCCCATCCCCGTGTGCCCAGCCATCTTTTCTACTAATGTAAGTGTTAAAAAACCTAATATTATTGATATTTCTCTTAATTATTAATTGTGTGTGCATGCCATCATAAAGTTAAGATAATATTTTTACTACAACATAGTTGTGTGTCGTCAAAAAGTGGAGTTTGGGGATCGGCCCGGACTCCATTTCAATTAATCCCATATGTTATGTTATTCACTTTACGCGTTTCTCACTTTCCGCGGTACCCTCCGGGTTACATTAACCGCGTAATATGAGGACCAACTGTATTAAATTTTTGCCCCGCGGAAAATTAAGGTTTGTTTACATCCGGCAGTTCGGCTGCTCTCTCTCTCTCTCTCTGCTTGTCTATACAGAGTACAACATTTAACCCTTCAATATATGTGAGCAGTAAATAAGTGTTGCTTTCATATTCTTATGTAGAGTAATAATGATATGTTTTCACATGTGCGCACTTACATATGCGCAGTCTCTTTTTTTTTATACCATTAATTGTTAGCTACTTATATTGTTCCATTTATTAATATTAAATAACATTACAGGTACTTCAACAACCATATTAATTTTTTTACATTATTTTTACTACAGCTACAATCAGGGTCTTATTATCTTCAGTTTTATATGTAGAACCAATCAGTCACTGGTTTTGTAAGCTTTTACAAAAACAATGCCGGCAGCCGTCTCGTCTCCTCGTGTGTTTTAATATTCCACGTATTATTAATAAATTGTATTGTTAATTTTGCACACACAAACATTAATTCAATAAAAACAAATTTAGAAACATTAATTAAAATATATATGAACAGTAAATAAGTGTTGCTTTCATATTCTTATGTAAAGTAGTGACGATATGTTATCACGTGTGCGCACTTACATACGCGATCTCTCTTTTTTCTTCACAATTATCGTTAGCTACTTCTATTGTTCCATTTATTAACATTAAATAACATTACTTAAAACAACCATATTAATTTTACTACAGCTACAACCAGGGTCTTATTTTCTTCAGTTTTATATTTAGAACCAGTCAGTCACTGGTTTTGTAATCAACGAAAACAATGCTGTCTCATTTCCTCGTGTTTTAATATTCTACGTATTATTAATGAATTGTATTGCTCATTTTGCACACAAACATTAATTCAATCAAAAAGACTTTCAGTAATAAACAGTAATGAATCTTTTGTACATAAGAGAAATGACGCTGTTTACATGATTGTGCACGTCGTCTGAACGTTGGTGGGCCGTTCAAACCCGTCGAAATTCGAGTTTCCGCCATCAAAATTTTTAAATGTTTTTTTTTGTGTTCAAATAGAAAACGTCGAATTAAAAACTTGCAAAATTTGAGAAGCTACTGTACGACATTTAACCCTTCAAAATGTCTTCAAAGAGACCATGA